TTCAAAACATGACCCTCAGGGGTAGGGCAGGGCCACAATGGCTGACCAAAGTTTTACGTAGGAATATACAGGGAAAAAATCTTTAAAAATCTTCTCCAAAACCATTGGGCCAACAAAGATGAAACAAATGTGGAAGCATCCTCGGGTAGTGTAGATTTAAGTTGGTTCAAATCATGACTCCCTCCCCTCCCCCAGGGGGGGTTACGGAGTGGCCACAATAGCCAATCAAAGTATAAATAAGGAATGAATAGGAGAAATCTTTTAAACTCTTCTTCTCGAGTTTGGCAAAATTATACATACATGTTTTATTGATACAGTGACATTCTCAAGTAAAAAAAAAATCAAATCCTTTCTACCCCAACAAGTAAACTTTTCAATACTGAGCTGATATGTGTTTTTTAACTAGCCCATGTGCTCAGGTGAGCAGTGTGGCCCATGGGCCTCTTGTTTTGTTCTGTACATTAGAATATAATTACAATCAATGTGTTTGTGACTAAGCAAGAATCACTGGAGATTAGGGCTGGGCAATAATATCGATATTTCAATATATTGCAATACAATGACAAAAAATATCGTATCGCAATACGATTTTGAAATATCGATATATTGGCAATATGCTTAGATTAAGGAATTTTGTCATTAAATATAGAAATGAATGTATGAAAGTTTGTTATTAAGCAAAACAGTAAGACAGAAGTTGTTTGGTGGGAACATTTCAGAGCATAACTTCATCAACAAGATTTTTTTCGCGCGTTGGTTATTTATCATAGTTATGTACATTCTGCATGTAAATTAAAGTAAATATAGTAAGAAAATGCCATTTAAATAACATTGAAAATATTGCAATACATATCGCAATACAGTTTAAAATATCGCAATATATCGCAATACGAAATCTCGGGCCAATACCCAGCCCTACTGGAGATACTTGTACACTGTCAGTGTGTTGTTGTATCGTTGTCCTACATAGAGATTGTTCTCATCATCCACACAAAAACTACAGGGAAACATTACCCCCTGTTTTTGTGGGTTGAGTAAAAAAGACCAGAACTGACAGTCCTGATCAAGGCGCTGAACAGTGTTACTTAATTCATCACACACCAGGATGTGACCGAGGACATCAGTACAGATTCCATAGGGGCCGAACCTGAACTCCTGACCTGTGTAGGAGAACCTGTGTTGTCCTGATTTATTCACCACCACTACTGCCTCTTTATTAATGTCTGATGTACAGATATCTCCATTGCTGTTTTCTGTGATGTAGTGTGGTGCACAATACAGTTCCTGTCCTTTGTTATCCCTCTGTATGTTCTGTAGTTCTTTTCCTGTCTTGTTGTACCTGGTGACTTTAGCCTCTCCATCCTTTATCATCCCCACCAGTAAGTCCCCGTTGATGTGAGAGGAGTGTATGCTGAGTGGTTTCCAGTCTCCAGTTTTAATGAATTCAGTGATATTATTATCCTGTGCTATCCTATTGATGACTTTCTTGTCTTTGTCTGTGAAGATCAGATCCCTGCCCTGTGTCACGGTGTGGTAACCATGTCCACCACTGGTTTCTATCTTCTGTATCATATTCCCCTGTAGATCTGTTTGTATAAGATTATCCTTACTGTCACTGATCCAGAGTCTGTCTGGTTGATCTAGTGATACATGGTATACATCATCAACACCTGGTACATTGAACTCCCTGACCTTGGTGACAGAGGCAGATAGAGACAATGTTTGCTTCTTGTCAGATTCCAGACGTTCGTCCTGTTTTATCCCCTCACTGCAAGATTTCATTGATGTAGCAATAGGAGGAATTTCCATTGACTTTCTGAAATTGAAGTTCAAAAGTTTGTTACATGCATTAATTAGTATGGATTCCGTAACTGTTGTACTTTTTAATTTTTAGTCAGCCCGCGGGCTGACTAGTTATGGTACGAAGAACTTCCAATGCGCTTGCGTGACCTGGAATTCTGGGAGTGGTTCAGCAGTAAATCACTCCTGCTAATTATAATTTTATTTCAGTAAAATCAATATAGATTACAAACCAACAAATCCCTATTAAACACAAAAGTAATCTGTAAATTTAACTCAAAAAGGAATTTCCCGATGCTTATTTTTGTATACTTATTAGATGGTTTCAAACAGTTTACTGGTTCGCAGTAATTTAACTGGTTCGCACTTGATCATGTGTTCTACGCAGCGAAGCATACACTTGCTACTGTTGGATGAATTTAGTGTTTGACGCGTAAATTGAAGCTCTCTTATAAAATATATTGAAGGTATTTTACTTGTGTATTTAAATCTACAGCACAAACATTGCTTTATGACATATTTTAGCTTTTCAGTTTTTACAGCTTTTACTTTCATTTTCACTACAAATCATTTCGATCCCGATGCTAAATATTTAGCGGACAGACTTGTTAAGTCATACAACAGATACTTCGGAAAGAAAACACAACTGGCTAAGCTTGCTCCTTTGTTACCCCCGCTGAAATTAGAGGATACCAATTTCAGTCTGTCTGTCCGTCCATCTATAGTTCTGTCTGTCTGTAACACTTTCACTTCCCCGCAATATTGCGTGAAGTCTTTGAGCTTTTGCAGTGAAATTTTACACAGCTGTTTACACCTTATTTGGCCTCGGAAGATCCTCTTGATTTTGAGGTCAAAGGTCAAGGTATTAAATTCAGAAATTCTGACTGTTTAAACACTTGTTTTCGCGCGATATCTCTATAAGCCATTGAGCTTTTGCAATGAAATTTTATACCACAACTCCCTATGACCATATATATGGCGTAAGGAATACCCCTGTGTATTTTGAGGTTCAAACGTCAATGTCATAAATTCAGTGACTCTGTGTAAAACTTTCATTTCCAGTCAATATCTCAAGAAGGTTTTGAGTTTTTGTAATTAAATGTCATAAACCATAACTCCCTATGGCTTCGTCCTAGAACCCCCCCCCCCCCCCCCAATCTGCGCATGTTTTTTTTATCCGTAAATTGGCTTGTTTTTCATAAACTACGACCTGATAATCTAGGTTGTGGCAATCATATTTATGAATTAATAGGTTTATTATAACAGGTCTGATAAATGAATTTGTATGTCTTAGCAATGTTTGCTTTTTTTATGAAAAAAATTTAAGCCAAAAATCAGCTAGTTACTAGTAAGTCAAATGACGATAATTAATAAACTAAAAAAAGCTTAGGCTATACTGTCAAAGCTTACACGTTACCTATTTGAATGAACAATAAATGTTTCTTTTTATTCTGAAATGTACTAGAAAAAGTATTAGGTATTTCAACAATCCTTTATTTGTATTCTCAAACGAAGGTTCAGTTTGGCTGTTTAAGTATCGCAGGGACAAGGGTATTTCCCTTTTCTAAACACCGAGCCAAGAGTGATTCAACCGGCGGCATGATAAACTCTAACAAGGATGATAGTAAAGCTTATTGGCCAATATTGGGCTCCGTTTTATTAAAAAATGGCATAACGTCCATATATCCCCCTCCCCCTAAAATCTTATGGATCTGATACATGTAATGAGGTTGTAGGTTTATAAATTCTTTGAATTATGTTACGTGAATTGGAACTTAAATGTTTATACATACTTTCCGTTCTTTTGATTTTGAGCCAAAAATGCAAGAATCTGCATGCACAAACGCTTCAATCTGTTCCTATGCAGAAAAAATATAAAGACGATGTTTTGATTTTAGTGCCCAACTCTGCTACTGATTAAAAATTTGTTGAAGGCATTTTTTCAGTTCTCTATGATTCTTTAAAAAATTATCACAGAGAAGAAAAATCCACTGGCTGACTCTCTAAGCTTTTTTTAAAAGCTAAACTTGTAATAGTTTAGGTTGAAGTTCTTATACATGTACTTTAAGCTGAATGAAAACATTCAATATGTTATGGTTGTTTGCAGGCTCTACCCAGGCTATTAAAAAAAGGAATGCCCTCATAGAGGAATAAAGCTTTTATGGCTTACGGCCATATAGTTCTCGGTATCTTTACGGCAAAGAGTTCACTAGTGTCTTCTTGGAAACATGAGCAAGAAAAAATAGTTCTCATGACTTCCTCAATTCTTTTCTACTTTTGTTGTGAAAATTACTCATCAAACTCTTAATCATATCCCTTGTCATTTTCATTTAATTTTTGCTACTGAAGACAAGATAAACCAAATAAAAAAAACAAAATTGAATAAACTCTTGTGAGGATGTGGAAGAATATCTTGGACCGTTTGTATCAACAGCGCCACCGTGTAGGTTAAAGTCTGAATGAAAGAAAGAGAACTCTGTCGGGCGTACGTATTCGCGGCACATATAGTGCATATATAGGAATACAGAATATATACTATGTATACCTTACAGACTGTTTAAACAGCTTTTAAAAGGGTAGTACATGTAGCAGTGTTTTCCCCCAGCCCTTTTTGCATGGCGGTAAATGCCATGCATTCACGATCTCCCACCAACTCAATGCAAATCACGGCACGGGGTATGATGCAATAGATATAGCTGTCAATTTTTTTTATTGCAATTTACTGGTATGTTACTAAGTATCAAGCTTTTAGTTGATAAAAATATTAATAACCATAAAAAAGTAATCAATGGCTGTGAGATAGCATTGGATAGTATACACGGTAAAAGCAATACACTTGTTAATGCACGTGCGGGGTTTTCCAACATTCACAGGTCGTTCTATAAATAGCATTGGTGCTTTGACTTAAAAAAAAAAAGATTCATTATTTAAACACATAATATTTATGATTTTTTTGTATTAATATGCTGAATATAAAACATGTGTTATTAACATTATCAATGTTAATTTACTTTATGAACTATGGGAAAGCACTAGTTCAAATGCATGTGCTTTTAATACACAGTACTGTACCTATATATTTTAATTCAGAAGCGGGAAAAATTAGACCCCTAATGAATGTAAATAAGTTGTCACAATATTTACATGTAAGGATTACATTGGTGCTACATAATAAGAACAAAAAGTTTCAAGATGTCTGCAAAAGTAGGGACATCAACAAAAAAAAAGGTAAATAAATAGGGGAAGGTCACTATAGGGGCCTATTTGTAGAAAACAAAAATAACACAATACATAAAACAGTAATAAGAACAACTTTTTGTGATTAGATCTTTTTATCTTAAAAAAAACTATTGTTGAATAAATTTAAGTAAAATTGACAATTTGTTCAAAATTTATTTATCATTTAATTTTTTTAAAGAATTTATGTGTGAAAAATGAATTTGTATTTTTAATTCAAATATAAATTTAGATACAATTAACTCAACCAAGACACGCCACAGGCTGTCAATTTAGTGAAGCCCCCCCCCCCCCTCCCGCATTAAAATTTTCTGGGGAAAACACTGGTAATAGTCCAGTATACTACATTTCCTTACACTTTACATCCATGTCAAGCATGTAAGCCATTATGGCCCTTCAGGCCCTTCAGGCCTTTGATTAAACTATTCTGCTGAAATAAATATTAAATTATCTTAGAGAAACTACCCTAAAAATACCTTTTTTGAGTAAAATTCAAATATGTCCTGAGGCAACCCTGTACTTACTTTTGGTGTAAATGACCTCTAAATATATATATTGTGCTTTGGAATGTCTGAGTGAGATTTTGGTCGAGACTTGGACGAGATCTGTAATTTTCTTACTGGATAAATATAGATTTAAATGTCCTCTTAACCCAGATATGCATACACTTTGGCTTTTAATTGATTGATAAATATTTACATTTCCAATAAATTTCCCCTATGATTCTTTACAAAATAAAATGCAGTATACTTTCTCATGAACTACATTACGTATATAACACGAATAAGCATGAATATCTCCATTGTTACGTCATAATACATGTACCGCTCTTGACGTCAAAAAATACAGTGCACACTGATTTGCTTCAAAAATGACAGTTGAAAGGCATAAATTTATGTCATGTCATCAGAAAAAAATGTAAATCTAAGAAATGAATTTAATTTTTGAAGATTCATGAGGTATATGAACTGTAACAATGCTTCACGCCTGCATATTTATCATGAGCGCTGACAAATTATTTTCAAAATGATCCAAATTTTGTCATTAAAATGAAATTGTTTGCTTAAGGAAATTAAGTAATTAATGAATTAGCAAAGTTTAGATTATATTAGCTCATGATATTTTTTTTTTCAAACATTTTGTCAAAGAAGGAAACATATTTTTACTGTTAATTAACAGACACATATAGATGTACATATACATGTAATATATATGATTGTCGCATATCTGCGGTGATGTTCATTGATCTTTGTGTGGTGATATATCCCATATCACATATGCGTTAATACTTTCCACGCCCCTTCATATATCACTGCAGGAGGCAGAAATCAGGTCATGAGAAAAAAAAACTAATTTTATTTCACAAGTTCATAACTACAGAAAAATGAAGATGTTAAGCTATTTCGTAGGCTTTAACTAAATTAAAACACATGTATTTAACTCGGTTGAAAGTTCCCAGTCGTTCAAAAGATTAATCCATTTTGAAATTTTGAAAGTTACGGAAAAATATCCAAACTTTATATCGTTAAACTCCTTGATATTTGCTTCTGTGATTTCACATTTGTCGAGTGCTAACCTCAAAAATAAATTGTCAAAATCTTCAAACTCAGTTAAAAAGTCAAAGACAAATTCACGAAGAACGTGACATGTTGGAGAGCTAGCTTGAAATGAATTTTAAGTTTATGACTCTGAATATTTTTTCAAAATTTCCAAACTCTCAATGAAATTTACGTCATCAGACATGCGACAAGTTGCTTACATCATGAGATGCAAAGTTTACTATTGGTATATATCGTTTTCATTTTCAAACAATGTCATTCGGGCGCTCCGGAAATATATTTTTACGCCCCATTAACAGACGACATATCATACTACATAGACATGTAATATATATGAATAGAAACGCTAAATGGTATTTCTAGGTATAGTAATTCCACTTCTTGTTTTCTAAAAGATGGGATATTCAATTCATCGCCAAATTTGTTATACAGCCATGATTTCTAAATTACAAAAGGTGGTGGTTTATCGAGATTTAACTGTAAATTTATTTGATATTATAAAAATATTATTTTTGACTTTTATAAGCTCACTCAAGTGAGCTTTTCTGATCACATTTTGTTCATCGTCCGTCTGTCTGTCTAGCTGTCTGTTCGTCTGTAAACTTTTCACATTTTCAACTTCTTCTTTAGAACTGCTGGGCAAGTTCCAACCAAACTTGCCACAAAGCATCCTTGGGTAAAGGGGATTCAAGTTTGTTGAAATATAGGCCCACACCCAAATTTAAGGAGAGATAATCGAGAATTAGTGAAAATTTGGTGGCATATGTTTTGAAAATCTTCTTCTCAAGAACCACTGTGCCAGGAAAGATAAAACTTAAGGGTTTTAGGAAAAATCTTTCAAAATCTTCTTCTCAAGAACAGCAAAGCCATGATTTGCCATACTTATAATGCAAGCATTCTCAGGTTGTGTAGATTCAAATTTGTTAAAATCATGATCCTCTGGGGTAGGACAGGGCCACGAGAGATGATCAAAGTTTTACATAGAAATATATAAGAAAAATCTTTTAAAAACTTTTCAAGAACAGCAAAGCCATGATTTGTCGTACTTATATACAAGCATCCTCAGGTAGTGTAGATTCAAGTTTGTTCAAATCATGACCCCCAGGGGTAGGGTGGGGCCACGAGGGATGATCAAAGTTTTACAGAGGATTGTATAGGAAAAATCTTTAAAGATCTTCTTCTCAAGAACAGCAAAGCCATGATTGGTCCTACTTATATGGAGGCATGCCATACTCAGGTAGTGTAGTGTGTCCATTAATTAGCCACAGTGCTCAGGTGAGCGATGTGGCCCATGGGCCTCTTATTTCTGTTTTAGTCCACACAAGGATATTGTTCAGAGAGTGCAGTATCTAAAGAGCAGCAACAGATATGTCTCTATCAGTAAGGTCAGTTGTCATTCTGATTTGTTGACAGCGGAATACTATGAATAATCCTTGTTTCTGATTGGTTGTCATGAAGTAGTCCTTGTTTCTGATTGGTTGACAAAAAAATACTATACTTAATCCTTATTTTTGATTGGTTGATATGAATATACTTTTTAAAAATCCTAGTTTCTTATTGGTTGACAGGAGGGTACTGTTGGTATCTGGGGCCCGGATCTGAAGTTATCCCGATCGTTCCGGATCGCTACAGACTCATGTAAAGCCAGAGATCTCTGGGTAACCCACTTTGTAGCTCTACAGAACATCAATAAAATCGCTGTGGCCTTCACTTCGAAGGAGATTGGTAAGTTATTGAAAATTATTGTTACTTGTTTTAAAACATTAGAATTGCTGTGAAACTACCTTAGTTTTAATTATCAGAATGATCCAGTGACTTTCTTTTATTGGACTTAACTTTTAATAAAGGACATTTAAGGTCACAAATGTTAAAAGCCATATACTGTAAAATCACATGTTTTCGTAGGGTCAAATTTTCGTGGTGTAAGGAAAAAATGTTGGTTTGTGGGGATTTGATTTCGTGGATAAGAAGTTTTTAGTAGTTGAGCATATGAAATTTTACATTTCGTGGTAGACATAATATTGAAAACACAGTTCATGAAAATTATGATTTTTATTTTAGCATTTTTAAATCATTTTAATTTTTACAATAGCTAGTACCTAGCCCATACCTGACCTTTAATTTATAATTTAATTCAAAAAGTCTTTAAATAGGAAAATTAAATCTCTTCCTGCAACAATTTTCATTATATGCCTCTTAATGTGCTTAAGGTTCCAAAGATAAATCATTCTAATTTCATATCATGTTAATAATCATTGGTATCTAAAAATGCTTTTTTGGGATAAAAATTTCTACTTTAAATTAGACCCTTCTGAGAAAGTTCAAAGAACCTTGAAGCACATGCATTTTTGTTTATTTTTTACAGCTTCATTTATAGACTTTTTGAATTAAATTTATGACATGGGAAACAGGCCAGGTTCATCTAAGTCTTCCTAAAGAATATCATCTTTTTACATGAAGAAAACCTGTTTTATATTTTACAGCTATTTATGACATGGGGAACAAGCTAGAATTTAACTGCCAGTACAAGGTACAGGGCATGGAGTTCACTCCCCTGTGTCTGGATTACTGGTAAGAGTTCTTTCCCTTTGGTTGGCATTTCGGCAATATACCATGTATATGTGTGTATATATACCATCATGACCACTCTTAGATTTCACTGTTATTTTTTAAAAAAATTAAATTAAAAATTAAATTTTTAATTGATTAAGAATTTAATTTATTTTTGCTTACTTTTAAGATATGATCCTACATTTCGATAACTTTAAGGACTAAATTTTGATTAAGAATTCATTTAATTTATTACTTAATTTGGTTTATTTTTCTGATTTTTTAAGGTATAACCCTAAGGATGCCAATGAAGCGATCCTGTGTTGGGGTGACGTGGGGGGCTATGTGAACTGTTTGTTCTTTAATTCGGCCAATATTGCTCTGTTTGAAAGACCGCCAGCGCCTGCCGGGGAAAAACAAGGTAATGTACGGGAAAATCGTAAAAAACTTCTACCACATGGAATTAAATCTGTATATTGAGAAAAAGTAGGTATTCTTAGAAATTAAAAATAGTAAAGTCGAACACACACACAAGGTTAACTGAGATTTGGTTGCAAGGAGAAATTGACATAAGAGTGAAATTATATAGTATAGCATCCTTAAAGGAAAGTTAAATGAGTTCTGTTACAGTGAGAAATTATATGTGAAGCATCAGGATATCTGAATTACTACTTAAACGAGACAAAATAACATTAAAAAAACTGTTCCGAAGAAAAGTCATCCAAATACTGAAGCATCCAGATATCTGAATTACCAGTTAAACAAGAATAAATAACAAAAATTCTGTTCCGAAGAAAAGTCATCCAGATACTGAAGCATCCAGATATCTGAGGGTCCACTATACTAAGAAATTGAGGGCTATTTGAATCCAGGAAAAACTTCTGAATCAATAATAACATAACCTCCTATTGCCGTACACTTACTTTAAGGTTAAAGTTGACCTATTTATGATCAGGTCCTTTGAATCGGTTAATGAATTGATGCATGAACATTTTATTTTGTTAACAGCATGTATTTTTTGCATGAATATTATGTTTTTTATTCCATGCCTTTCATTTCAAGATGTGCTTATCTTGTATTATATGGGCTTAAAGCTATCATGCATGTATGAATATTTGTTTAAAACCCTGTGTATACTAACATTTGTTTAAATAAAGGAAATCTGTAGGACTACACAAAAAATATATGATTCCTGTAAGTTAAAATTAAATTAAAAGGTGGGTACGTTCTAAAAAAGGAACTTCTGAAATATTTTTTTTTTCAAACTTAAGTATGTGAAAATGAAACGCACAGTACTGTAGGAATAATATTTTTAAAACCAGCAATAACATAAGTGTTATATATCAAATGATGATTATTAAGAAAACATATTCTGGCATCCCAGTCATGGGGAATTAACTCTATTTAAACTAACAGATACAGGCTTAGTACAATAAAAATAAACACACTGAGTATAACTTTATTGTAACAGATACAGGCTTAGTACAATAAAAATAAACACACTGAGTGTAACTTTATTGTGACAGATACAGGCTTAGTACAGTGAAAATAAACACACTGAGTGTAACTTTATTGTGACAGATACAGGCTTAGTACAATAAAAAATAAACACACTGAGTATAACTTTATTGTGACAGATACAGGCTTTAAGTACAATGAAAATAAACACACTGAGTGTAACTTTATTGTAACAGATACAGGCTTAGTACAATAAAAATAAACACACTGAGTGTAACTTTATTGTGACAGATACAGGCTTAGTACAATAAAAATAAACACACTGAGTGTAACTTTATTGTAACAGATACAGGCTTAGTACAATAAAAATAAACACACTGAGTGTAACTTTATTGTGACAGATACAGGCTTAGTACAATAAAAAATAAACACACTGAGTATAACTTTATTGTGACAGATACAGGCTTTAAGTACAATGAAAATAAACACACTGAGTGTAACTTTATTGTAACAGATACAGGCTTAGTACAATAAAAATAAACACACTGAGTGTAACTTTATTGTGACAGATACAGCCTTAGTACAATAAAAATAAACACATTGAGTGTAACTTTATTGTAACAGATACAGGCTTAGTACAATAAAAATAAACACACTGAGTATAACTTTATTGTAACAGATACAGGCTTAGTACAATAAAAATAAACACACTGAGTATAACTTTATTGTGACAGATACAATAAAAATAAACACACTGAGTATAACTTTATTGTGACAGATACAGGCTTAGTACAATAAAAATAAACACACTGAGTATAACTTTATTGTGACAGATACAGGCTTAGTACAATAAAAATAAACACACTGAGTATAACTTTATTGTAACAGATACAGGCTTAGTACAATAAAAATAAACACACTGAGTATAACTTTATTGTGACAGATACAGACTTAGTACAGTAAAAATAAACACACTGAGTATAACTTTATTGTGACAGATACAGGCTTAGTACAGTAAAAATAAACACACTGAGTATAACTTTATTGTGACAGATACAGACTTAGTACAGTAAAAATAAACACACTGAGTATAACTTTATTGTGACAGATACAGACTTAGTACAGTAAAAATAAACACACTGAGTATAACTTTATTGTGACAGATACAGGCTTAGTACAATAAAAATAAACACACTGAGTATAACTTTATTGTAACAGATACAGGCTTAGTACAATAAAATTAAACACACTGAGTATAACTTTATTGTGACAGATACAGACTTAGTACAATAAAAATAAACACACTGAGTGTAACTTTATTGTGACAGATACAGGCTTAGTACAGTGAAAATAAACACACTGAGTGTAACTTTATTGTGACAGATACAGGCTTAGTACAATAAAAAATAAACACACTGAGTATAACTTTATTGTGACAGATACAGGCTTTAAGTACAATGAAAATAAACACACTGAGTGTAACTTTATTGTAACAGATACAGGCTTAGTACAATAAAAATAAACACACTGAGTGTAACTTTATTGTGACAGATACAGGCTTAGTACAACGTTTGTGCCGATCAAAAAAAATAAACACACTGAGTGTAACTTTATTGTAACAGATACAGGCTTAGTACAGTGAAAATAAACACACTGAGTGTAACTTTATTGTGACAGATACAGGCTTAGTACAATAAAAAATAAACACACTGAGTATAACTTTATTTTGACAGATACAGGCTTAGTACAATAAAAATAAACACACTGAGTGTAACTTTATTGTGACAGATACAGACTTAGTACAGTAAAAATAAACACACTGAGTATAACTTTATTGTGACAGATACAGACTTAGTACAGTAAAAATAAACACACTGAGTATAACTTTATTGTAACAGATACAGGCTTAGTACAATAAAAATAAACACACTGAGTATAACTTTATTGTAACAGATACAGGCTTAGTACAATAAAATTAAACACACTGAGTATAACTTTATTGTGACAGATACAGACTTAGTACAATAAAAATAAACACACTGAGTGTAACTTTATTGTGACAGATACAGGCTTAGTACAATAAGAATAAACACACTGAGTATAACTTTATTGTGACAGATACAATAAAAATAAACACACTGAGTATAACTTTATTGTGACAGATACAATAAAAATAAACACACTGAGTATAACTTTATTGTGACAGATACAATAAAAATAAACACACTGAGTATAACTTTATTGTGACAGAAACAGGCTTAGTACAATAAAAATAAACACACTGAGTATAACTTTATTGTGACAGATACAGGCTTAGTACAATAAAAATAAACACACTGAGTGTAACTTTATTGTAACAGATACAGACTTAGTACAGTAAAAATAAACACACTGAGTGTAACTTTATTGTGACAGATACAGACTTAGTACAGTAAAAATAAACACACTGAGTATAACTTTATTGTTACAGATACAGACTTAGTACAGTAAAAATAAACACACTGAGTATAACCTTATTGTGACAGATACAGGCTTAGTACAGTAAAAATAAACACACTGAGTGTAACTTTATTGTAACAGATACAGGCTTAGTACAATAAAATTAAACACACTGAGTATAACTTTATTGTGACAGATACAGACTTAGTACAATAAAAATAAACACACTGAGTGTAACTTTATTGTGACAGATACAGGCTTAGTACAATAAGAATAAACACACTGAGTATAACTTTATTGTGACAGATACAATAAAAACTAGTGCTAATTGTAACGGAAACCGTTACAGATGTTCCCCAAACGCTCCCCAACTCTCTTTCGGTGCCATGTTCCCTGTAAGCTTCATTAAATAAGACAAACTCTGTGCATTTTTGACTTTTACAACGTTTTCCCAGAAGGATACCAATTATATTCAATTTTTAGCATTGCACCCAAGCGCATGTGAATGCATGTGCGTTATGACCATATCATCTTGTCTACACTATTTATATATTTTACTATACTATATACTATACTATATATTAAAGCATTCAGTCCAAAAGTAATAAAAATCACTCATTCAAAAGTATTTTTGAAGATACTCATTTCAAATGCACGCACGTGCGTACACGTGCATGATGATCATACCTTCTTGTAGGAGTCCTTTACATCTATCTATGTTCTAAATCCCATCCTGTTTGGTTGAAAAACAAGGGAGTTATAGCCATTTAAAGTTTCAGCTAATCAGATTGCAGCACACGTGCATGCACGTAATTTAATGATTTTTTTATATCATTTCGTAGGATATCCTAATGCATGACTATATTTTAAATTTCAAAGAATTTCGTCAAAAAACAAAGGAGAAATAGCCATTTAAAGTTTCAGCCAATCAGATTGCAGCACACGTGCATGCGCGTGATTTCATGATTTTTTTACTATATCATTTCGTAGGATATCCTAATGCATGACTATATTTTAAATTTCAAAGAATTTCGTCAAAAAACAAAGGAGATATTGCCATTTAAAGTTTCAGCCAATCAGCTTGCAGCACGCGCACATGCGCATGCTTTCATGAAAATTCTTATATATTCTTATATATCATGCAGGAAGGAATGGGTCAGACAAGGGTAGATTCATAATGTAGGACTATGTTCAAAATTTCAAAGGATTATGACAAGAAACAAGAAAGTTATTGAGACTTTAGTTTCAGCCAATCAGAGCGAAGCGCACGTGCATGCGCGTGAGATCTTGCTATTTTGACCATGCTATCTTGTTTATACTACTAATGTATCCTTACATTATGAGTTTCAAAAAATTTCATCAAAAAATAGAAAAGTTGCGGCAATATCCATTATATTGGTAATTTCACCTATTGCACGTGCGCGCTCTTGCAAGCACGTGCGCTCAAAATGACCTTTGTTTGGCAACTCTACATAACATGCCTACTAACCCTAAAAAGGTTTCACCTAAGTCGGATGTGTAGTTTACAAGATCACTCGTGGACAAAATTTTCCCAGGAAGAAGAAAAATAATAATAATAATAATAAGAAACAGAGTAAAAACAATATGTTCCCCAACTTCGTTTGGGGAACATAATAAACACACTGAGTATAACTTTATTGTGACAGATACAATAAAAATAAACACACTGAGTATAACTTTATTGTGACAGATACAATAAAAATAAACACACTGAGTATAACTTTATTGTGACAGATACAGGCTTAGTACAATAAAAATAAACACACTGAGTATAACTTTATTGTGACAGATACAGGCTTAGTACAATAAAAATAAACACACTGAGTGTAACTTTATTGTAACAGATACAGACTTAGTACAGTAAAAATAAACACACTGAGTGTAACTTTATTGTGACAGATACAGACTTAGTACAGTAAAAATAAACACACTGAGTATAACTTTATTGTTACAGATACAGACTTAGTACAGTAAAAATAAACACACTGAGTGTAACTTTATTGTGACAGATACAGGCTTAGTACAGTAAAAATAAACACACTGAGTGTAACTTTATTGTGACAGATTTGGAGTTTATGCTTAGAAAGATGTTTGGTAGGTAATAAAATGATTTAATTTTCCTCGGAATTTTAGTTGTGAGGAATTCCTTATACACACATGTACTGTATATTAAGAGCTTTGAATGAGAAAGATGTACGGTTAAGGTTTTAAAATGATGTAATTTTCCTTGGAATTAGTTGTAATTCCTTTTGCTTAAGGAGCTTTGAAGAAGAAAATCAATGTGAATATAATATGGAGCTTTTCAAAAAAAAAAAGCATTTTATCTTAGTATTATATATTTTTCAAAAATGCTTTCTTTGCTTGAAATTGTTAATCTTGAATGAATAAACTGGAAACTTGTCACAATATTTTACATTTTTGTTGTTGTGTAGAAGTAAAAAAAATATGTATGCCCTTAATTACACCCCATTTTCTTATTATTTTTTCTTCTCTTAAACATATATGCAATAGTAAAGAATATCTGCATCCATTAAAAAAAATGGATAGAAAATTGTTTGTTTTACAAAAAGACCTATTTGTTAATAGAAACTGAATTTATATCTAGTAAATCAATTCTCTGTGACATGCTTTCTAAATAGAAACTGAAAGTAAATCTACAAAGATTACCCTGGATGACCCTCCCTTATAGATCCCTTGCTTATAGAGCCTTGTTTTATTTGCATGCATCCACTTCTCTCTGCTTTGCTTTTTTAGTTGACATTTATTCCATGCATTTTTATCGTACATGTTAGCACACACATAGCTGGAAGCCATTCATTGCTTAATGTACCATTTGTTGATCTGTCTGTCTGTGTAAATACATGTAATTGTAATGTAATTGCACAATGTTTTGTATCAGTGTTGTAATGTAGTCATGGTGTTTATAGGAAAACAAAGTAGCTTTTGTTAAAGAAATGCAGGCTTTGATCAAGATTTTCAAATCCAGCAGCAGGTTTATGATCTCATTATAAATAAACACGCCATTGGAGGAATGGATAGGGGTGGGTTAAACTGAATCAGTTTGTTAATGGAATTCTCTGAGACAATTTCCTTATAGCAGAAAATGAAGAGTTCTTCCACAAATTTTCATCAATGAACTATAAATAATTTTTTAAAAGTTAGTAATAAACTTGTAATTAATTTAATTTTTCTTTATTAATTGTCAACACAGTGGGTAAGATAAAACTGTGTGAAAATTTCACCGAGATGTCAACACGTTTGAAATCCGCCGATCAATTCTTTCAGATCACTGCAAGTCTACATTCTGCTTACAGATCTGTAGAAAAGGCTAAATATTTCTACTTTTAATTTTATTTTTCAACCTTTTATTTTTATATGATTCATTTGCACATATGATATCATAGCAGTTGTTCATGGAGTTATCCCCCCATTTCTTATTTTATTATTTCATTACCATAATGATCCCCATAATAATCATTACTGTAACAGTATTTTGTGTAATAATAAGTGCATTGCCTAATTCATTATTTTTGTTTTTCATTTTACAATCATATCTCCATGGACACCAGCTTTGAATTAATTCATCTCTGTATCACTGATTTTGATTGGTCTCTAATTTCATGCAAATTAATCAATATTATGCTTTATTTTGTTGGCTGTGTGCGAACTCTGACCTTTAACCTTTGCACTATCTACACTCAGTTTGGGAAGGTGAGTAATTTTCTTTAAGGTTCTTTTCCTCATTTTTTTTAAAAATGTAATTTTAGTTTGTGTTGTATAATTGTATTAATACATGTTAATTGTTATTCAAAACATAGAATTTCCATTAGATGACTGTTTACATTTTTTTTTATTAAAACAGATACCGGAATTTAGACAGGCACTGAATTTTAACTTGTATTAGTAGAAAATACAGAAATTAATTTAAACTAAATTTGTCCTTTTGTTTCTATTTCTGTATATTTTATTGGTACTTCCCATTGATGATTTGAGAAGTGATGTTAACAAATTTTCTGTTTATCCCCCTTTCGTCTCCCCAAATGCTAATTCCATCCTGCCTCTGTTTCCTCTGAATCCAAAGCCAGCACCCTCACCCTGTTCTAGCTCCTGATCCTGAGTCCTCTATTTAAGTCCATTAGTTCCCCCACACCTGTGTTCATTCCATAATTCCCTGACCATGTTCTGAAATCATTCAACTCTTCATACAAATTAACATGAATGAACATTAATGGAGATTAGTGAACATGTCATCAATTTAAATTCCAATTTTCCAAAATTATTTGTCCTTCTATAATAAATAAATAATTTTCAATGATCATTTATAGTTATATTTTATTATTGAAATGTGGTAAATATAAAGTAAAGAATATTGGCAAATAAGTTGGAAGTCAAAAGGTTGGACTATCTATCCTATTTTAGTCAGAAGCAAATTTCACATTAATTTTGACAATATCTTTAAAAAGCCGGTTGATTATCATTAAAAACACAAGAATGGATGCATTCACGGAAAAATGAAAATTGGTACAATGTGATAAATTTGAGAGTGTTTTCTAACTTGTTATAAAAGCCCATTTTGTAGGGATTAATAGTTCAGTACATTTTCTATATATAGTTTTATTCTCTTTTAATGTGTAAAAGAGAGTAAAAAAGAAAACTTCTTAAACTAAAAATGTGTGGTTACTTGTTGACAGGTGCTATGGGGTTTTTGAATAATAATATTGTGTAGATTTATTTTAATTATGTAAGGTAACTTTAAAATTGGAAACTTTTTTTTCTAATAAATATTCATTAATGGTGAAGGGGACCTTTCCTACAATAACCAACAAAAAAAATATTCTGCTTCTCAATATCTAAACTGAAAATTCTGTTTTTAATGTAATAAAAATTTATAATATTGATATAAAATTTACCCTTCCTTCCTAAAAAACTATATTATATTTATAATATCAGCTTTGAATTAATACAAAAGACAACCATGATAAAGAAACACTTCAAAGTCATATTATAAAAACGTTCTCCAGGTTCAGGTTCATTTTGTCTTTTTCAGAACCGTGCCTTAACGTGAACCTGCAGGATGTGGGAAATGAGACTCTGTTCAAGAACGAAACTTACACCCGACACGAGGCCCACAGGAAAGAGTGGGTGAGACAAGGTAAGCTCAGAGATTGAATCTCAGTTTTTATAGTACTTTGATTTTAGTAACATTGAATACTTGTAGTACTTTGATTTTTGTGACATTGAATACTTATGGTACTTTGATTTTAGTGAAATTGATTGGACATTGAATACTTTTAGTACTTTGATTTTAATAGTGAATTATTAGATTTTACATTGAATACTTGTAGAACTTTAATATATTTTGCATAATTTATCATAATGTTTGTCATAATGAAGTATGCCCATTATTTTGACAAATCTTTGCCCACAGTGAAGTATGCCCATTATTTGGAGTGTTTCATCAGTTGCTCCACGACCAGTACAAACTCTATGGTGATAGGCTGGATGGAGAAAAAGACAGGATCTGTCACCAAGTGAGTTCAACAGAAAACAGGATCTTTCTGTAAAATTCATGATATAGCTAGAAACTTTACTTGATGTATTATAAGGTAAATTGTACAAATCTTAGTATCGAATCGCACTGAATAGTCTACCACCTCTTCATATTCATGTTTGATTTTAAAGTAAAATTTACTTACTGTAGATCACTTAATTTTCGCGACACCTTATTTTCGCGAAATAGTCATTGACTTTTTATTAGCGTGACAAAATTTCACGAATTGTGGTCATTGCTCTATATAATCTTAAGGAATTCTATTATATGCGAGAATGAAATTTTCGCAAGCATACTGTCTCGTGTAATTACGCGAAAATAAAGTTCTCGTGAATAAAAAGTGATTTACATATACTTTATTGAGCAATTTTAAAACTCTCTCTTCATTTCAAAATTTAGTTTGAAAAATGTGTTTGAGTGATTCAAAGTCAATAAACCTGTGTATCAAATGCATCATACTTAATGTTTCCTGTGACATATCATGTGAATAACTCTGGGCATTTTTTTCTTTGAAGGAAGAATAATTTTTTTTTTAGATTTAAAATATTTTTTCTATTTTTCGCAGGGATCAAGGAACAAGCAAGAAGATTCAGAGAATGTAAGTAACAAGTTCTATTTTTATTTTTAAAAAATTCTGATCCAGAGAGGTTCAATTATCCTACCATCTAAGCAAAAATCTTTTCATTTCTTCTTAAAAATTCATAATTAAAGATCTTTTTGCATCTTCAGGATATGTATCATATCTTCACATTTTTTGAAACTTATTTTTCTTCTACATGATTACAGATCCAGCTTCAACATATCCCAGGGTGTGAGCACTTTTGACTACAACCAACATCTAAACATCATTGGTGAGTTGTAGATCTCTGATATATATTATAAATTTTGAGGGGAGGGGGTGGGGGACTGAGAATTCTTTAGTTAGCTCATTCTGAGAAGGAATATCCTATAAGCAAGCTAGATTAAATGTTCCTTTTTAGTTTCAAAATTTTACTTACAATTTAGTGTTGAATGATTCCGCTACTGTATACAGGGAAGTTTTCACCCCCATTTTATTTTCGCCCCTTTAGCCCTAAACACAAGTGGGCAAATTTAAGATGGGGCGATCTCAACGAAAACAGTAAAATTTCTTAAAGAAAACTGTGAATGGGCAAAATTAAAATGGAGCAAAATTGCTTGCAAGTATGAATGGGCGAAAATAACCTTGGGTGAAAATAACCTGTGTACAGTATATGTTTTGATAACTGTGTCTATATTTATCCGTAGCCACCGCTGGCGTGAACCACCACGTGTGTCTGTGGAACCCCCACATTGTGTCTAAACCTAACGGTGTCCTGCGGGGTCACATGGCCAGCGTGATACAGGTCCAGTTCATCAAGAGTCGCGGTCAGCTCATCAGCTTCTCTAAAGACAAAGTCCTGAGGATCTGGGATGTACAGCTACAAGTCTGTATACAGAGATTAGCAGGGATGTTCCCTAAAGGCCCCGAAGGTAGATAATTGAAATACATGTAGATAAGGTACAAAGGTTAATACTCTTATACTACTACAAGTGTGTGTACAGGCTTCAGAAGGCGTAAAACTTTCACTTTCATGAGCTCACGTTTGACCTCAGTACCACTTTTTCACTGTTTTAAAAATTTTTTAAAAAGTCTGAGATACTTAAATCAGAAGTGAACTCATCTAACTTTTATGGCCCTCAGAGCTAGTTAGAGGCTGGTCTGTGCTAGGTAGAGTTCCCTGAAGGAAGATGATCCATAGTGTTGTTTTACATCAGTTCAAGGTTATTCAGCTTGATCAGAGCTCCAGATAAGGTGCGTATTTGCAGAAATACGCATTAAATTTTACAAAATACGCATTGAAAAGTAAAATAGAGCGTACAATTACGCATTAGCAATCATAGATACGCATTACACCACGAATGTACTGCGTACAACAAGTATAAGAATACAGGTACGACTAACTTAATGATTTGGAAGTGAAAGTAACCTGGCTTTGAAAAGGTTGACCACTAACCCCCCCTCCCCCCCCCCCCTCTCTCCGAAATAGGATTTTCCACATTTGGGCAACTTTTAAATTACTTACACTTTTTTTTTTTTTTTTTTGCTTGTCAACTTTTTCAGGTCAATAAAATAAAAATTTTCTCTGGCTGCCCCCCCCCCCATTTTCAAAGACGATGCTACGTGCCTGCTATATAAACAAAATACTCTTCTATCATTTGCTGAAAATCAAAATCTGCATTGATTTGAAAATCAGGGAGTAAATACACTTTGTGGTAAAAAATTATCTGGAGCTCTGTTGATACAATTGAATTTTGACATTGTTTATACCTAAAAATGTTTGAGTGAATATAATTTTGTTTTTTCATCATCAATTTCCCTATTTTTAAGCTTCTTTAAACTATCCCTTGTTTTTTACTGTGCTTGTTGTTATGTTAGAGATAATGATTTTACTCTGAACTCTGAACTAATTGGCACTCTTGACTTGACAGTTGTGAGTACCCTGTTCTTTGACGAGGAGAAGGATCGCTCAGGCATGGAGAGGAACAAGATGTTAATTACGTTTAATTATCAGATCACGCTGATGGAGATGAAGACGGAGAATCGGGATAAAATCATGTCACACGAGAAACCCGTCACCTCAGCTATCTACAACTCTGTCTACAATCAGGTAAGCTATAAATAGCTGTATAAACCAAATGAGGTTTAATTCGCATAGATTCAGGTTAGCTTTGTAGAATTGGATCATTTGTTGTAGAGAAGTGTTTGAAAATTATTTCTTGTTTGTTGCAATGAAGGTCAAAGTCTATGGAAACAGAAAATTCATACTGAGTGAACTCTAACTGAACATAAAATTTGAATGTCAAATACATGTAGTGTATTTTATCTAAGTTTGTATCACTATGTTTATTTCTATTCGTAGGTGATCAGTGTTTATTTCTATTTGTAGGTGATCAGTGTTTATTTCTATTTGTAGGTGATCAGTGTTTATTTCTATTTGTAGGTGATCAGTGTTTATTTCTATTTGTAGGTGATTAGTGTCTGCCAGGCTGGCACCATGATTGTTTGGATGATTGACACAGGTCAAAAGGTCAAACAGTTTAACAATACTCACTCTAATGCCGAGGTCACGTGTCTGGCTCAGGATCCCACGGAAACCAAACTGTTCACAGGAAGTACTGACGGAACAGTCAAGGTGAGGGGTCAAGGTCACAATTTTTTTTTAATTTTAGGATTTTATTCATATTTGCAAAAAGCAATTTCCTGATTCTGTTGGTATTTTTTTATATGATTAGGAGTCTTTGAATATTTATTAGAGTAAGTGTTTATTTTTGTATTATCAGGTTTGGGATTTTAATGGACACTGCTTCCACACCCTGGAGTGTGCAGGAGGACAGCCAGCTGACATAGGGCAGATCCTTAATCTGAAGAGAAGTGTGGTGGTGGTAGGGTGGACCAAGTAAGTAAACAGAGGGGTGGATCTAGGAGCTAATACAATACAGGGGTGGGGGACAGATCCTTAATCTGAAGAGGAGTGTAGTGGTGGTAGGGTGGATCAAGTAAGTAAACAAAGGGGTGGATCAAGAATCTAATACAATACAGGGGTGGGGGGCAGATCCTTAATCTGAAGAGGAGTGTAGTGGTGGTAGGGTGGACCAAGTAAGTAAACCAAGGGTGGATCTAGAATCTTATACAATACAGGGGTGGGGGACAGATCCTTAATCTGAAGAGAAGTGTGGTCTTGGTTGGCTGGACCAAATAAGTTACTAAATGGAGGGATGGGTCTAGGATCTAATGAAGATCCTCAATCTGAGAGATATGTAGTGGTGGTAGTGTGACCAAGTAAGTAAAGGGGTCAGGGGATCTGAGATCCATGAAAAAAGTGAGAGATATAGTATGGATATAGTGGATGAAAGATACTGAAGGGAGGGTCTAAAGATGTCATGTAAAACAAGGGAGTGGATCCTTAACTTACAGAAAAGTGTGGTGTAACTTGGACCAAGTAAGTGGTGAAAGGGAGGATTTGAGATATAATTCTACATGTACATGGTTTAGGGATTTTTTTTATTAAAAAAATATGTGAGATGATGGTGTAGGTGAGAGGAACCATTGATTGTGAGGGTTTATTATTTTTCAGGCAAATCACAGTTTTCCCGACAGCTTCCTTTAAAGACTTCCATGTTCAGCCAGCAGAATGGAAAGGTGGAAAGGTAGGACTGTCTAACTGTGTTTTAAGCTGTGTGTGTTTGTCTGTCTGTTATTTCTTTATGAAGCTAACAGACAGGAAACGTGAAAAGGTTGATCTGTCTGTGTCTGTATGTTTGTTTGTGTGCTCACTTATGACACAGATTGTATTAATTAAACAGTATATTGCAGAATATTTTATTTTTCTTAGAATTGCTTGACATTTGTTCTTTTTAGTGAATATTTTTTTGCTTCATTTATGATTTAGTTAATATTTTGCTTTCAGTCTATTTATATTCAGTATCATTTTTTCAAACATTTAATCCAATATTACATGTACAGTGTATTCAGTTTCTTTTTTTTTTCTTTCTTTCTTTAAGGTTGTGGGTTATGAATTAGCATATTTTATCTAATTTGCTTGCTTTTAATAAAATTTTGTTTGACTACACTCTTATTTAAGCCAAATTACATTTACATTTTACATTATGCACATCATGTAAGCTTAGAATTCATTATTTGCAGCATTTATTTGTAAGTAATTAGAACTGAGTTATCCCATGCCATGTCAAAATAATTCTGAAAGTCAGTCTCATGTATACTTCCTATTCCCCTACACTCCTCCCCCTCAATCCAAAATGAATATCTGAACTGTTCATCCTTGCACAAAATCTTAATACATATCCCAACACACCAGTAGTAAGCCAAGAAATCCATTGAAAATTATGTTTTTGAAGTTAATAAAGCTTTGTCTAGAGTGAAAGAAGACATCTAGTTTTTCAACAGATCCTGTTTCCATATTGTCACAACATAGAACTAGTGCTGTTATTTTACAAAATAACCAGAGTTTAGATGTTGATAGTATTTGTATGTTAATATTGGTAGTGTTGATATTCACAAGAACTGTTCATCCTGGCACTAATCTTATAGTCCTGCCTACTCAGAATTACTAGGATTATTACAATTGTTAACATACTGTTGTAAATACTTGATTTAGCAATATAGTACCATCTTAGTGAGTCAATCATCCTCAGTTCCTAAGTCTGTTAAGTTTTTCTCCTAATTTTTGCAGCTTTCATTGATCAAGTTTTTAATTAGTTATTTGCTCTTTATAGTTTTTTGCTTTTATACATTACCTTAATATAATTATAACATCATACTGTGTTGGCAAGCCACTTTTGATATGTCTTACCGTTTCCGGTTGACTGATTTTAGGAGCACAATGAGGACATTCTATGTTGCGCGTTCACTGGACCGAATCACCTAGCCACAGGAAGTTACGATGGTGAGATCGTAATCTGGAACACGAACTCGGAACACATGTCCAGACGACTCAATCAGAGATCCAGACGGTTAATGGTCAAGTCCAGACAGAAGTCCTTCATGCAGGCCAGAAAGGAGGTGAGACTGTACTAGCTAGTTTGAACCAGTTATACATATAACTGATTATATTATACTTTCATGTAAATTAGTTGAATCTGATTGGTCGATAAACATTTGTAAAAAAACACTATTACCCGTTGAATAATGAAGCCACACCCTCCAGCGTAGCAGCAGTCAACAGTGCTTGACGACGGGTGATATTCCAAAAAATAGCGACTGCGCAGAATTTATGCCCACACAATTCACTGTTACATGTATTTTATAAAACATTCAGTATAATATAATAAATATTGCACCTTGGTTGACAATGGTTTTCTTGGGGTAAAAATTTTCAATGTTACACTCAACTACATGCAATATTTATATAATAGTTCCTATTTTGGTGCAAGATTTTCATCCGAAGGATGTGTGTGATCAGAGATTTAGCTTGCTTTTATTTCTTTATATTTTTAATTTTTGAAAGATTTGGTTGTGCACAAAACTCATGGCAAAACTGGCTAGCCCAAAAGCCATGGTTTACAGCACATCTTTGTATGTAAGAAAAACTGATAGGGAACAACAAACCGTAGTTCTGTTTGATGTGTATCAGGGAACGTTATTTTCATCATTCACTCTCATTAGAATAAAATGCATAGAAAATTCCTATTATCAACCTTTTAAAAGAATTTGCTCTTATTTGAAGTTTTTACTATTTTTTTGTTTTTGTTAAAGTCTGCCTCTTCACAAAGACCAGTATCTAAGACGTCACAAAAGAGCGGGAAAAGTCAGACCAGTGGAGCAGATGACACTGTAAGGAAACACTGAATTTATGATTGAAAACAAGAAATAATGCCAAAATTTTTTCAGTTGATATAAAAAGCTAAAAAAAACTAAACTTTTTTCAAAATACATGTACCATTCTTAAAGAAAGACATGAAATAAAATTTGATGCAAATGATGTTAAATTACAAAAATTTTAATTAAAAGTTGTTTGAAAGGATATATTTAAAGGATATTGTCTCAATATAATATGCTCAAATTTATTCTTGATGTTTATTTCAGAATGAGTTTGGATTGGCTGTTGCTAAGCTGATCTTCCTGGACACCAGGAAGGGGAACTCGGCGGGAGGCGGGGCTAATCTGATCTCGGGGGGAGGGAATGGCTGGGTTCGGTTCTGGAACACTGCCCACACCCGACTGATTGGAGAATTTGTGGCTCACCAGCAATGTCAGTATTATTACATTTTCTTAAGGCTTACCTCCCTCTAATAAGAGAGATAACTCTGTCTTGGAAATATGATTATATTGTATTTCCTTGTAAAAAGAAATGTTGAATTTATAAAATTTCTGTGAAAATAAAATGCTTAAAAACTCAGCACCTTATATATGGTAGCACCGCATGCTGAATTTTTTGGCATTTCATTTATAATTTATATCTTCAATGAAAAGTCCTTATCATAACAGCCTGACTAAACAGAGAAATTGAATTACATGTACTACCTGACAGTGTTTTGAAAAGTAAAGAAACTTCTATCTCCAAAAGTAAAAATAAATTTAAACTCCTAAAGAATTTATTCAGAATGCCTCTGATCTTTCTCTTGCATTGAAACTAATTGAAAAATGAAATTAATGTCAGGTGCTAGCTTTTAAGTACGTAAATTTACAATTTGTAGGTAATCTTTGTTATTCATGTATAAAACTAAAGAATATATGATATGTGAATCAACCATCATTTTTCTTTTGACTTTCTTTGTACAGCTGGGAGCGTTTTAATGGCGACAGACAAGAAGAATCGATACATGGCGACGGGCGACGTAGATGGACTAATCAAAGTGTGGGACATCACAGAGTACTGTGTACAGGCCGCAGACGATGTCATCACTACTTCACCGCGTAAGTATCATAAATATCATCACTATGTCACCGTGTAAGTAACAGAGAATAGATAGGGATAATATAGGCTTTGCCTGCTGCCCTGTCCATTTATTGTATTTATTCCATAGTAAAATATGCTCAAATTAGGTAACACATATCAAATATCATACAAAGGTTTTTAGGTCACCTGAGTAAACTCAGGTGACCTATTGCTATCTGTTTTCGTCCGTCGTCGTGCGTCGTGCGTCGTGCGTTGTGCGTCGTGCGTTAACATTTGAACATTTTCTGCTTCTTCTCTGCAACCACTGAACCAATTTGAACCAAATTTGGCACAAAGCATCTATGGGTAAAGGGGAACAAAAATTGTGAATTTCATGATCCCTGCCCCCCAGGGGCCTGAGGGGTGGGGCCAAAACCACTAAAATTAATGCAATCTTTAAAAATCTTCTTGTTTACACCTGGGCATCAAGCAGTCAAACTGTTTGCATAATTGTAATCAGCAATGAGTCCTCTACCAAAATTGTGAAATTCATGGCCCTGAAGTGTCAGGGGTTCTAGTGCTAGGGCGGGGCTAAATAAGTAGGTAGTGAAAATGCATTATTTCTTTGAAAATCTTCTTCTCTGCTCCTAGGTATTAAATAAAGTAACTAAGTACATAGTTATGATGAGCAAGAGTGCCTCTACCAAAATTGTGAATTTTATGGCCCCAGGGTCAGGGGTTTTGGTGTTAGTACAGTTCTAGATTATATAGTGAAAATACATGAAATCTTTGAAAATCTTCTTCATTGATCCTGTGTATTAAATAAACTAACTAAGTGCCTAGTTATGGTGAGCAAGAGTGCCTCTACGAAAATTGTGAATTTTATGGCCCCAGGATTAGGGTTCTGGTATTAGGGGGGGGGGGCTCTATTGATTATATAGTGAAAATACATTCATGAATTCTTTGAAAATCTTCTTCTCTGCTCCTAGGTATTAAATAAACTAACTAAGTGCCTAGTTATGGTGAGCAAGAGTGCCTCTACGAAAATTGTGAATTTTATGGTCCCAGGATTAGGGGTTCTGGTATTAGAGGGGGGGGGGGCTCTATTGATTATATAGTGAAGATACATGAATTCTTTGAAAATCTTCTTCTCTGCTCCTGGGTATTAAATAAACTAACTAAGTGCATAGTTATGATGAACAAGAGTGCCTCAACCAAAATTGTGAATTTTATGGCCCCAGGGTCAGGGGTTCTGGTGTTAGGGGGGGGGGGGCTCTATTGATTATATAGAAAAAATACATGAATTCTTTGAAAATCTTCTTCAGTGCTCCTGGGTATTAAATAAACTAACTCAGTGCATAATTATGATGAGCAAGAGTGCCTCTACCAAAATTATGAATTTTATGGCCCCAGGGTCAGATGTTTTGGTGTTAGGGCGGGGCTCTATAGATTATATAGTGAAAATTCATTTAATCTTTAAAATTTTCTTCTCTGCTCTAGGGTATTAAGCAGATGAACTACCTATATAGTTATGATCTACAAGGGCCCTAATCTTCCAGAATTGTGAATTTCAAGGCCCCAGGGTCAGGGTTACCATTGGGGGGGGGGTGTACTTATATACTGAAAATGAATGAATGGTTTGAAATCTGCTCCTTGGTATTAATCAAATATCAAGGCCTAAGGGTCAAGGGGTTCATGTGTGGTAGGGGCACTACTGATTATTGCTGAATATAACTGATTAGTTGAAATGCATTTTTTGTTCCCCTACCTTGTGTATGGGTATTAAGTAAACAAACTAAGCAATTGCTAAGTGTATTGTTATGATGAATTAAATTTAATCACTGGAAAGTTGTTGCATAATGCTCAGGTGACCTATAAGGCCCATGGGCCTCTTGTTTCTCCTTCTGGACTTAGAAATTGGATCTTCATGAGGAATTCATAGGTTACAGTCATTGTATTGCTGTGCACACTCCCATATTCACAAGGTGTTTAAGAAATAAAGAACAATCAACTGTACTCAAGAGTTTATCCAGTAACAGACTGTACAGAATATTTGAATGCAGAATATTTTGTCAAAGTATTTGAATTGATTTCTTGATTTCTATTTATAGCCCAGAAGTGTCAGTTTCAGGCCCACGCTGACATGATAAACACGCTGGAGATGTGTGAGAGGAACGAGCGCGTCCTCATCATATCCGCCTCGTCAGACTGCAGTGTCGCCATGTACGACGTACTGGGGAACCTCATAGGGATATTTGGTCAGGTTAGTACAGTGTCACCATGTACGATTAAACGGGAAATGTTGAAGGACTGTTTTGAGAGGTTAGTACTGTGTTTAGTGTAGCCATGTTTGATGTACTGGGAATTCTGATAGGGATATTTGGACAGGATAGTAGAGTATGTAGTATAGGTATCGTCTAGTGGGTTTTCTTGGCGGGTGTAAAATTTGGCGTTTTGCCTTCTCAAAGGTATACCAATAATTTTGGCGTAATTTATTTTAGCGGACGTAGGGTTTTAAGATCTTTACAGATGAACACTAAAAGAGGACTAAATATTTTAGCGATTAAAATTTTAATGGACTATCATCAAAACGCCAAAATAAGCCAAAACTAGCACCCCGCTAAAATTTACCGCTGTACAGTATAATATGGTGGGAAACGTCATAGGGATATTTGGACAGGTTAATACTGTATGTAATGTCACCATGTACGATGTGCTGGGAAATCTTATAGAAATATTTGGACAGGTTAGTACTTTTACAGTATTTAATGTAAGTATTAGGTACTTGGGAATATCATTGGAATATTTGGAGAGATTAATACATTGTCTAATGTATCCATGTATTGAGGTACCTAATAGGAAAATTTAAACAGGTGAGCCACTCAATTGTAAAATCTCTATTGTTTGTTGAAAAAAGATAGATTTGGACAGTTGCTAGTTCAGTTTACCTTGAATTGAGGAACTATTTATAACTTCAATATATGCTCTGTGCTTCTGCATCCTGTTATATTGTAATGTCATAACTGTTTCTTGTTGTTTCTGCATTATCTAACGTTGTTGTTTCTCGCCACAGGAGGATCACTGGAAGATAGAGCCCTATGACCCGGCGGAGGAGTTTATAGAGGAAGTCGAGAGCGAGGTACGTACCAGATACACGTAGGTCTGTCCTGAGTTTGGGGCGCCTTTTGTCCGTTAATACCTACAGCAAAACTTGATTATAGCGAAGTCACTGGGACCCAGAAATTACTTCACTATATACAAGGTGTCCCAAAACATATGTTACCATACATGTTAACCTATTGTGATGAAAAAGAGGGAGATTCAGACCTCAAAAGCGGTAGCATTGCGCGCGTGTTGTTTAACGCTTGGATTATCGATATCTTTCATGTAATATACATGTATATTATAAGCCTTAAATGAAATCAGGTACCTACACTAATCAATCTTAAATATCAACAGCAAGGAAGAAGATAGAAACACCTTAAGTTTGACATAAATTGTACAAATTCAAATATTTTTCATGCTCATCATTTTGCTTGGATTGGCTGCTTTACTTAGCCTTTTGAAGAGTGATCTTTGCTGAAATAGCCTAGAAGCAATAATTCTGAATGTTCATTCAGTTTTTAAACAAAACAAATGATGGCATGGTTTAATCTAGATCTAAAACAAGTTCGTATCTTTCGTTATATAAATCAGATTTCCTGCGATGATCGAAAACGAAAGTAGAGATGTGCCACATGGCTTGGTCAATCGAGTGATTTCTAATGACTTTATTGATAAAGTTGTGAGCTTCTGTGCTTTTAAAGACGATGTCAAATGTTTTCATCTAATTCTTAAAAGCTATATCTCCTTTTTCATGGCAGGGATGTTGATTAATTTATCGTAACCAATGTAATCACTGGTAGTCTTATGATGTTGTCGTTGTCAAATCCGTGCTTGAAATCTATGTACAAAAAAAGCGTTTGTATGATTCCGAGTCAAACCACGCGATATCTAGCGAGATTTTATGAGAGTGGCTTCAAAAATGGATACCCAAGCGAACCAAAAATACTTTAGACGCAGCTTTTGTAGAAAAGCGGTAGATTTCTGAATTAAATCGGTAGGCGGGAGATGGAGTGAAAAAGCGGTAGACTCCCGCCTAAATCGGGAGAGTTAACATGTATGATGTTACACATTTAATCATATACAACTTTATCAAACCAAAAGCATTCAAAAAGATATTTTGTCAACATGAAGTGTATTATTATACATTTTATCTGACAAACTTTTGAGAAATTCTATTAAAAATTAAGGTAATTATGATGTCCTTATGACGTCATCTTATTTTTTAATATGGAACCTTTATGTGAACAGCTGGTATAATTTGTAAGACTTTACTTTGGGTCTAAATCTTCTACTTTAGTCATTAGAACCTTGGGAAAACAACATCCTGTAATGAAATTACTTGACAGAATACTAATTTACAAATTTGTGAAGGAGTTTGAAGTTAAAGGCACCATAAATGACACATGACTTAATTCTGGTATTAGAAGACCAAGGGTGCCTGTACCATAGAGAACATTAATCTCATTGATAGAGTTATTACTGAAACTTTAACAAAAAAAACCCCTTAGACGGGTTCTATGTAAACAATATAGCACCTTTTATATATAGTGTCAGTAAAATACTCAAATTTTAATTAAAATTGATTCCTTACAAGATAAGTGTAATGCAGCATTTGAAAGAGACAGAAATTAGAAGTCCTTTTGGGTTTGCCCACTGGATTTTAATTAGACCCGACCCTGAAAAATTAACAGAAGTATGGTTTTCCGATGAAGCCCACTTCCATTTTAACAGATTTTTTAAAGAAATTTTAAACTCAGTTGTTTGGTGAAATCCAGTTTAGAATGTTACATTTAAGCTTGATAAAAAACATCAGAAATCGTGTTCAAACACTGTTAATTTAAAGGGACCTCATTTAGAAGATGTTGTAAAAATTAATGACATATGTTATTCTAAACAAAAAATATTGATAACAAATAAGGAAACTGAGACACATGTTTGCTTGACAAAAAATTTATAACAATTTTATTATGTATATTAAATTTCATTCATATAACTTGATGCATAAAATTTTTATAACAATTTAATAGTGTAACATATGTTTTGGGACACCCTGTACGTAGTTCGTTATATCTGTATAAGGAGTTTGTAAAATTTATATATTAGTCGGGGATTCCAAAAAAACTTTGTTATATCCATGAATTTGCAATATCCGTGTTTGAAATAAATGAGTTTTACTGTACAGTCATACATTGCATATTCTATGGATTTTCCCCATTTACCCAATCTGACATGCTGGATGTGTTCAATAGACAGGGGATGCTCACTTCTCCATGGCACCTGATCTAATCTCCTATGTGTTTAGAGGTCCCTGTTTGCACTGCTTGGGATTTGTTTATTTTATAGTGGTCATTTGGTCCTGATAACTTGGATGTTTTCATGTCTCATGTATTTGGATGAATGTAAAATGCAAATGATGTACATTGTAATTTTATTTCATGAAACAAGTCTGTTTTTAAGCTTATTAATGTATTCAATTTTTATAAGAAAGCTAGGAAAGATGAATGCTTTAACAAGAACGTATATTACAATTTTGTATTATCATCATGGTAATATTTTCTGCCTCAAGCAACCACAAATCGCTCAGTTGGTAAGTGAACTTCTGTTCAATGCACATGTATATTTTCTCATTCTTTATTAATTTTTGGTAGGTTCGTCTTGAAAGTAACATTGCAAGCCAGATGTTTTAGCTCAACTGAGCCATAATATTAATTTGGTCAAAGTTTTCAATTGATTCCTAAATATGACACAGACACGCATAGCAGCCTAATGGGCTTTTTTTTCACTGATCTTGTTACAAAAATTTTAAACCTGGCTTGCATAGTTACAACTTCAATGTCTTGAAAGTATTTAATTCATTTTCTGAATTACACAGGACAATTTGTGTGTTCTGCCAGTCACACATTATTGTAATTTCTATATAATTACTAGATAGACTTTCTTTAATTCACTTTTATTTATTATAATCATAAAATTTCTTAGCTAGTTGAGGTCTGGGTGAAATTATGAATTTATTTAATAGATCATTTAAACTGAAGAAAATTTTTCGTAGATTTGATATTTCAGAAATTGGTCATGGAAGGCAATGTTGTCTATAGATAATAATGTTTGGAATAAATATCCATAATTTGTATTCTTTTAGCTAGGTTTGGTGTTTGGTTAATTTTATTTTGACTTGAATTGTCATTTCTCTCTTATAGTTCCCTCAGTATAAAAATTTAATATATCCAAAGTAAAACAGAAGGAAACAAACAAAATCGATACATCTAAATTTTACTTTGACTTTATGTTATTAGGTAAGCTGTCATAAAATTCTTTCATAATTTCTCTGCAATCAATATTTTCGCATTCAAACATTAACTGTCAAAATATAAACTTAAGAGCTAGAAAAACTGAAAAAAAGTTTCTAAGAGACAACATATATGAAACAGAAAATGTAGTGTGTTGATTGTCTGTTCAAAAAAGACATTTTGATTGGTCTGCAGAATATGATCACTTTGATTGGTCTATTGAATAAAGATATGTGGATTTGCCTATAAGATACAGAAATGTGGATATGCTTTGCTGATTATGAAGCATAAACTGACCCAAACCAGATTATACTCGATAATTTGGCGAAGAATCAGAGTCATTCCTTAAATAAGATTGTGTTGCTGTCTGGTTTCAGTAGGCTAAGTTTGCTGTATTATATTATAAGATTGTGTTCCTGTCTGGTTTCAGGAGGAGATTGAGGAGAGTAAGGAGCAGGAGGCTGAGGAGGTGGAGGAGGAGGAGGACTGGGAGCCAGACGAGGAGGCCGTCAACGACCCGGAGCACCACAGGATCAACACGTGGAACAAAACACTACTAGGTAAGTCAACAACCCGGAACACCACAGGATCAATACGTGGAACAAGACACTACTAGGTAAGTCAACGACCCGGAACACCACAGGATCAACACGTGGAACAAGACACTGCTAGGTAAGTCAACGACCCGGAACACCACAGGATCAACACGTGGAACAAGACACTACTAGGTAAGTCAACGACCCGGAACACCACAGGATCAACACGTGGAACAAGACACTGCTAGGTAAGTCAACGACCCGGAACACCACAGGATCAACACGTGGAACAAGACACTACTAGGTAAGTCAACGACCCGGAACACCACAGGATCAACACGTGGAACAAGACACTACTAGGTAAGTCAACGACCCGGAACACCACAGGATCAACACGTGGAACAAGACACTACTAGGTAAGTCAACGACCCGGAACACCACAGGATCAACACGTGGAACAAGACACTGCTAGGTAAGTCAACGACCCGGAACACCACAGGATCAACACGTGGAACAAGACACTACTAGGTAAGTCAACGACCCGGAACACCACCGCATCAACACGTGGAACAAGACACTGCTAGGTAAGTCAACGACCCGGAACACCACAGGATCAACACGTGGAACAAAACACTGTTAGGTTGGTCATAGAATACCACCGTATCAACATGTGGAACAAGACACTGTTAGGTAGGTCATAGAACACTACCGCATCAACACGTGGAACAAGACACTGTTAGGTAGGTCACAGAATACAACTGCATCAACACATCAAATCTGTTACTTTAAAGTGGAAAAAGACGTATTATATATCTCTGTCACTGATGCAGAACACTACTCCGTCCACATTTGGAGAGAAAAAAAATCTAGGCCCCTATAAGGTCAAACAAAGACACATCACATATATACATGGAACAAAAATGTGTTATGTTCCAGGTAGGCTTTATGGGTTTTTTTAAAGATGAATGAGATCAATAATTTGACTTATTTTTCTTCTCTTTACAGGTAAACATTATCAAGAGCTTCGGGTACAGAAGCGAGAGAGGAAACAGCCGAGCACGATACCAGATCTGCCGTATCTACACTGGGAGAGAACTGGGCATGCTCCTGCCGGGCCTTACTCAGTAAGTAGTGATCTGCCGTACCTAACTGGGAGAGAACTGGGCACGCTGCCGCCGGGCTGTCTCGGTAAGTAGTGATCTGCCGTACCTACACTGGGAGAGAACTGGGCACGCTGCCGCCGGGCCGTACTCGGTAAGTAGTGATCTATCGTACCTACACTGGGAGTGGGGCCGTACTCGGTAAGTAGTGATCTACCGTACCTACACTGGGAGAGGACTGGGCACGCTCCCCCCCGGGCCTTACTCGGTAAGTAGTGGGAATATTTATATAAAATGTTAAGAAAATCGGAGGTACTTAAAAAATTAGGATTGGATAAGCATCACTGGATAAGCGTCAAGGTATACTAACACAGTTATGTGTGTTTCACCATTTGTTTGTTTGAGGATGAGTGAGTTAATTCTGTGGGAAAAAAATGTGACATAATTGCATCTGGATCAATGCCTAATGCTGCCTTCATTGATAGTTACGGTAGTCTCTTTGTGAGGGGGATGCTCTGATTTTATTGGAATGTAGAAGATTAATGTCTTTTCAGTCACTGGACACACAGGTGATACAGGACTTTGATCCTCCAAAGAAACCCAACATGTCATACACAGAGAGTGTATCTACCACATCTAACCTGCCAAAACTCCCCAACCTTGTTGACAGTAAGTAGTAAAATTTTGTACATCAAGTGTACAAACTGTTTACATAGAGTTGTAAACATTATGTTCACTTTTTATGCCTGGCTATGAATATAGCTGAAGCATAATGTTTGTCATGTACAACATCTGTCTATTTTCTGTTCTTCTATCTTTTTTTGTCACACTTTACACACAAAATGAATAGTAAAGAAAAAAAATTGATACCAAGTGTACTGTGTTCATTTTGAATATTTTTCAGCTGATTTCCATTAATATTTTTCAGCACTTAAACAGCCTGTTCCAGAGAAGGAAATCTTTCCAAAATACATCCTGGATTTTGAAGCCAAGATGAAAGATTATCATCGCCGACAATTGAGTCAAGGAAACTCCTCTAATGCTGTAAGATCATTTCTCTTCATTCATAAGTTTATTACAAACACTGACGTCCAGTCAACTATACAAATCTAGTCTTTAAATGGGCTAACATAAGAGAAAAAATACTTGGACTTGAATTTTGCAAAAGATAAAAACACCTTATTCTTTCACAGTTGACACTGCTGTGCCTATGAGTTCATTAAATTATATTGAAATATCTTATATATAGTGTAATTAATCTGGATTTCCGAACACATTATGGATCAAATGTAAGTCATGTACTTCCCTGCTTGAAATCAGCCATTTTCCTGGATAGTACTTGTTGTGGTCATAAGCAGATTCATTTTCTTTTATAGCCTGGAATTATGGGATTGAAGGGGAAGCTGGGAGCTGGAATGGCTAAATCCAGTTTACAAAGTATTGGGCTACAGCTGGGGAAACAGATGTTAAACACGTCCACCCCCAAACCAAGCAAGTCTGTCAAGAGTATGAAGCTTAAATCCGTATCACGGAGAACATCCGTAGTATCCACAGAGGCCTCTCAGGCTTACTGATGATCTGGATAAATCCAGCTGATAATCCAACTGATACCTCCTGATAATCTTGATAAAATCCAACTGATATCAAATGTTTTTGTGGATAAATTCAACTGATAATCTAGCTGATACAACTGATAATCCAGATATATCAGTATCTTGTTGATATCAAATGATAGAATCAAGTTCAAACCATCTGATATGAATTGATATATTACTGATGTTCCAGATAAATCCAATTGATATCAGTTGATATATTATTGATCTTGTGGATAAATCCAACTGTGATGGGGAATTTACAGTGTATAATAGTTCTTATCAATAATGACAGAGATTCAAGGTGATCTACTGGGCATGTGAAAATTCAATTTTTTTATGCTATCATAAATAGTATTGTATATTCTTGCCTTAAGAGATTTAAATGGAAATGTGAATAAATATATAATAATAACCTAACAGACATTTCAGGTGTTTAGATAGCACTCACACACCCTTCTTAGATAAAAAGATGTGTTGTTTTATATACATAAGCATTTAAATGTAAAAAAAATCCCATTGACTTTGATATTATATGTTTGTATATTCATATGCTGTATGCTGGTTCGTTTTTACTTTTTAGTGTACCTGCAAAAGTGTATGACCTTTGTGATTTACATGCATTTAAGGCTATCATGTGTTTTATTATTAATGCTTCATCGCACTCTGATAGTGTTTAGGGAATCCTGCCTCTAGATTCCCGTGTGATATTTTAACACTTTTGATGCAATATTTGTACATAAATAGGCTTCTAATTTTTTGTTACAATTCTGTTTGATATGAAATGTTTATTTACATGTTTTCTCAAATAAACTTCAATCTAAACATAAGAACTGCTCATTTTATTTTTAATTATGTAAATTACCTTTATTAGCATCAGATCTAATTTGTTAAGTTTAGCAAGTACTGCAGTCTTAAAGCTATATATGGCATATCTGAGCTAAAAATTAAAGATACGAGATTAAGCGTAGATTTATGTTCAAATCCATTACATTGTATTTTTACCTATTTTGAACGTAAATATCTCCAGGTTTCTATTAGTTAAATATCGATGTTAAACTGTGTGATATTTATTCCCGAGTCGGAAATAAATCGGTTTTTATTTTAAATCTGTGATATCTATAAAACGAATTGATTTAAATTGTGTAATTTATTGAAAAGTCTTATCTTTATATAAAGTAACAAAACATATAGAAAGATCTTTTTTAATTTTAGTTTGTCTGAACTTGTTTATAAATTGGAATAACTGTTACACTGAATTACGAGTGCATTAGTGTGAAACAATTCAAAATGCCTAATTACAATTTATATAGTAGGTTAGGTAATAATGCATACTAATACATTATTTGACTTTAAATATTAACTTTTATAATTTCATGGCCATGGGAACTCGCTATAGAGAGGTATGCACCATCTCCCCACTAATTTAGTTATTGTATAGGGTTTTAAGTTCTGTATATAATATACGTACTGTAATTTCATCAAAATAATATTTATCAAAGACTGGTTAGGGTATACCCGGTATACTTCACCTCCAGTGACGAATATTCCATAAAGGCAAAACGGCTGTAGCCTACACATCAATTTCTCAGGAATAAAAATTTGGTTGAGTGAAGGGGCAGGGATAGGTCCCTGATATAAATCGTACCTATTAATTTAATTTGTTGCAAATGCCATAAAAGCATTCTTAGCAATGTGTACCTTTACACCTGTCCTATTTTTGTTTACAGTTTTGATTTAAATTTAAGGACAAAACTATCCCTTGGCATGAATTGATTTTTTTTTCTACGCCATTAAATTCAAGTGTTATAAGTATTAAATCTGTATCAGAAAATTTCGTCAAGGGCAACAGGAGTCCATAACATGTGCAGGAAACGAAACTGATAACTTGAATTATATATGGTTCGTAGGAAATTAAACGTTTTGTTCGAATGTTGATTATTCAGCAAGGAAGCTTCCATATTTTCTAAGCAGATATCGATTAAAGGGATAAGTTAAGAATTAATTCTCAGTTTTGTTAAGTAGTCTTCACATCACGATATAAACTGTAAATATGTCTACAATATTATTTTCACTGGTCAATCAATATAAAATTGTTTGACCCCTCCCCCTTATCTATCGAGGGGAAGCTCCTTGTCTACCCACACTTTGCACCCCAGGCTACTGTGTTACTTTACACTAGCCGACACATTAGTAGAAAGGAATATTACATTATACGCCACTATCCTCATTACACTATTATGAAGGCCTTTGGTTGGTTAGTAATAACCAAAAAAAAGGCCTAATAATAAATAAAAGACCTTTCCTGATCAGGAAAGTAAGAAAATTTAATAAGAAGTGTGTGACGGAGAATACAAGACTGTTTACTTTGAAATATTTATGAAAAGATTTTTTTAAGATCACCTGAGATAATTGAATTTTTAAAAAGCGGGTAATTAAGTTATACATTTATATTTACATCCACTGAATATTTTCCTCCTTTATTTCTTAAGAAAACCCATTGCCTTAATCAGTGGATGAACTACACTAGGCATGTCACCTGTACAGATTTCTTATCAGTGGCTGTTCCATCAATGAAACGTACAAAGACGTTCACATCATTAATGCAATAATTAATCTTTTTAATCCTACTTTAAATGATTATTTAAATAGATATAAATATAAAGAATAAAATGTCTTTCTTTGGTTGTAATAGTACGGGATGAATGTCGCAGGTATTACAGAAAAAATTACATAACCCGCTTACGCGTGTTATGTATTTTTTCTGCAACAGCTGCGACATCCATTCCCGTACTAACAACCAAAGAAAGCATTTTATAATTTAAGGAGGCTGGGGGGTCAACAAATTATAAGAAATTAACCACCAGATATAACTTAAATTTTTAGATATGATATCTTAAATTGTCAACTATCATTTGACAAAGAAAAATTTCATACATATTAGTTTTAAAATTTGATCATTTTTGTATATCTTTATATGGAGCTCTTCTTTTAAAGGAGATTTCTTATCTAATCAAATAAATAATTTACATGACTTTTGTCTGTCTGTCATACTTTATTGACTTTGTACAGTTCTTCAGGTTTATAGCTTTTCAAGGTACAGTCCCTGCTTTTTGTCCAGTATTGTCTCAGAGTTTTAGCGTCAACATAATGTGAGGTCATGACCTCGTTTCTATAGGAACAAGGAGTAAATTTAGTGCGTATGTTTGAGAATCCTTTCAAGGTCATCGGTCTCACATTTAAGGCCTTTGCTGCCATTCCTATGAACACGTCTTCCAAATGAAAGAATGGAAAATTTCTACTTACGTTTAACAAACCGATTAGAAACTCTGAGTTTAGGATGTAAGCGGTCCCTGAACAAACTGGCGGGAAATTTTTATGAGGGTAACTCCTGAGGGAGACGAACCATTTAGAAGTTTTATCCCTGTGTGGGCTCTGTTCACCCCAACAGTACCCCCCGTAAAATTTCCCCGTAGGTACGGCTTTCAGCAAGATAGGAATAAGCTCCAAGTTGATGTACATATCACCGTCTGCTTTCATCACAAATTTCGCGCGCGAACAAAAGTCACGTGACCACCGGAAGCCTGACATCGTTTTATATGTAAGATTACCGTAACTTTCTTTAAAATCAAGTTGGATGATGTCTGAATGATTAATGTTTTCAGATTTTATTTTTTCCATCACTTTTGCATCCTCCGTGACTCCAAGAATAAACAAACACGCAATATGGCGCTCTTTTGTGCAGAGGGCGCCCCATGTTTCGCGGATGGTTTGTCGTTGTTGGAAGTTGTTTGGTCCGGTCAGAATCAAAACAAGTACGTCCACTTCCGTGTATCCTTCACAAATCTTGTTATTAATCAGATAGGTAAAATCATTCTTAAAGCAGCCATTACAACTATCTGGTCTGGCGTCCTGTGGTGTAACACTAGGTGAATGCTTTTGAAATGTCAGACTGGCGATTTCTTTCATCTCCTCGTTCTGTGTGCGGCGAAGTTCTAGAATTTTGCTGCCAATCCTCGGTAAAATGGACTTTTGGTGGTAGAGTAACAGAGAGTAAGAACACAAGAACACGAACAGGGATATACATAAAAGTAGGAAAAGCAAACTTTTTTTGGATACCATGACCACTTTCTTACTAAAAATAGACCAATGTTTGTCTTTGTCATTTCTGTGAACGGTGTTCGATTAACAACACTCGTAGATCGCGGGACGAAGCTTCCTGAAAATAGATCACAGATTTTTACAATATATGACTCTCTCTCTGTTGCTCTCTCTCTCTCTCCGGTGGTATTTGTTGTTATTACATAGCCAGCTTCCAATTAGTACACATTTACCTATACATTTGTAAATATAAACCAACGTACCTAGGTCTTTGACGTCTGTTCAAAAACAGGGATCATTGAGGGTTTTTTTTTCTTGAAAAAGGATTCCTCTAATTAGTCAATGGAAAACTTAATTTGTGAAATCCCAACCGCATTTCAATCTCGAAAATCTGTCCTCCCCTGTAGAAGAGGAAATACATGTATATTAAAAGAACTACAATTTCACGTATTACAAAAAAAGTACATACTCGTATACATGTATACCGAAAAGGAACATTGTAAGCCAATGACAAATAAAATGTCTTTTTCAAAGATTTTATTTCAAAGTACTGAAATTGATAGAGAATACAACTGATGATCGTAAAATGGACCCTGACAGTGGACCCTTAACAGTAAAGTGGATCCTGATCGTATAGTGCCTCTCCCACTTAGAACCTTGCTCCGAAGAGCCCCGCTCCGAGATGTGCGGCCCAGAGGAGAGCGCTTGGTAAAGTTTGGCTGTCATTTTCATGATATACAGTACATAATACTCATTTACATATGAAACAAACAAGTCAGATTCAAGAACAAGTTGTACAATAAGTTTTGGACAAAATCCTAGAACTTTAGAACAAAAAAATGAAATTTAAACATAAGCTTTAGTTAAGTGTCCCGATATTGTGCAAAACTTAATATAATGTTAAAGTAAGACTTAGCAATGTTCCTTTACCGTTCCTGTATTATTGTCCCCAGATAGATAAAACATCCTGGTAGGTGACACTGTCCTTAATCCGATTAACATGTGTGTTCATTCTTACGGTAAAGTATTACACTTCCGATTGGATTACATGTCAGAGCAGATGTTATGAACGTTATGGCTTTTGTAAATGTTTTGAGCGTTACGGCTTAATTTTGTAGATCTTTTGAGCGTAATGGCTTTATAGATGTTTTAAGCGTTATGGCTTCCTGTTTTGGAGTGGTGTGGGTTTTAAATAGAGCTTTGATCGAGTTGTTGCAAATTGTACCATAGTTAGAGGTGTGATTTCTTTTGTTAAAGTGTTATGTGGGTTTTCTGTACATAACATAACACTTTTCTATAACTCCGCCCATCGAGTCGGGACAAAAGAACTATAAAACCATGCTCAATTTTTAAATGACACAATCATCTGGGTTAGTTATAGTAAAACTTATTAATTGTAGACATCAATATGTAATAATTATCAATTAAAAACTGATATTAATACTTTTTCAAATTTCATTTAAAAATGGGGAAAAGGTTCAGTTATCTCTTGATTTGTTAGCATTATTTAAATAGTGTCATTATAAGGATGATATTACTTCAAATTATATTTTAATAATCAACAAAGAAAACACGGTACATAAAAACAAACATATACACTACTGCACTTAAGTAATTGAGTTTTAGATTGCAGATCTGGTGGATTAATGATATAATTTCAATTATATTGAAAAGTACATAATCCTTAACAATCATTTCAATCAACAATTAAATCATTTCAATAGAAAATGAAGAAAAGGCAAGTACTGGGCAGTAGGTATCAGGTTAACAAAAAAATTAAGTTCATAAAAAAAATTTAAAAAATATTTGATTTTGACGTTTAAAATTTAAGGGAAAAAAATCATATCAAATCAACGTATTTCATTGAAACCAAACTCATTAATGTTTTATTTACGCAAATCAGTCAAACTTCCTAAATTGACTTAGATATGTTTAATTTTTGAAAGTATAGCATACAAGTCACTTACCCATACTCGGTGGACGTTGTCCTATGGACACGAGGGAGCGTAAAAATCATAATCAAATCCACATTTATCATTAAAACCAAACACTTATTTTTCCAATCACATGAACCGGTCCAACTTCCTAAGTTGCCTAACATATGACAGATTTTTGAGAAATATGGTACAAGTCACTTACCCACTATTATATAGTTGATTATGTACAGATATCCGATGGGCATGGTCATTACGACAGCTCGTTAGAGCTCAACGCTCCCTCGTGTCATTATGACCACGCCCATCGGGTATCTGCACATAACCAACAATACTGTATATGACTACTACTACTTGTGCTACTACTACTACTACTACCAAGTGCTTTCAAGTTTTCAAATTTATTTTCATGAGAAAAAGTATCCGTTATCAATAACCTTTGTAAATTGATTAATAATTTTAATAAGAGAGTTACCCTTCCAGGTTAGTGTATATTATACAAATCCTAAAGTTTTGAGTCCGAACATTATTTAATCTAAAACATTAAAAATCAACTAGTTAAACTATGTAAATCTATTGGGTTTATTACTGAGAGAGTTGTTTGCTTGATTTATGACACTGTCATTTTTCATCGTTTGTTTTATTTTTTTCACGCATGCTGTATTGTATTGTACATATTTCATGTTTGTATCTTCTCTATACGGTAGTGCAGTTTAAGAGAATAAAGTATTGAATTGAATTGGAGTGTATGAGTTATATAAAGTGCTATGAGCTGTGGTTAACCTTCAGTTCTACTTACCTCTTTCTGCGATTTCGTGTCCTCGTGTTCGATTTGTTAATTCAGAAAACCGGAAGCTAGAGAGTTATTGTTTATTTCTAAAAACGTATTACTTTACGAACTTGCTTGTTAACATAAATAAGCTGGCGTTAGTGTGGGAATTTACTTGTTTTAAAATTAAGATTGGCAACCTGCATGTTAAAATACTTTTCTTTCCTGCATACATATTTTTCATACATTTTGACATTATTTGTCATGCATGAAGGGGGCAGAAATGGTCCACCATATACAACACTACGCATGAAACACGGCCACTGGAAGTTAATGTAATGTATGTATACGTGAAAATACTCAATATATACATTAACTCCCAGTACCCGGGCATAAAAATATACAAAATGTACATAAATGATTATAACCGCAGTCTAATGACGGCCTGTTACCCAGCTGAATTAAGGGCACGTTCGGTTTGGCTATTCGGCCAGGAAACATGGAAATCATATAAACAATAAACTTTCTCAATAAATGAAGAAAAAGTGTTTATTACCTGTGATTCTACTCGAATTCTAAATAGCTTCCTAGCTGGATTGTGGTATGTGGACATTTAAAAAGATTTAATTCATTCATTTTTTTCATTACCCCGTGACACTGGATATTGCGTTACACAGATCATTTCAACGCAACAGGCTGTTAGATCATTTAGTACACACTTTGGGTCGTTCAGATAGATATATCTATTTTCCTTTTGTGGTATCGATAAAAGCGACGAGAGAGAGGTGTTCCTACACAGAAAATCAATAAAAAAAAACAAAACAGATGTCCTGATATGTAAAGATATGCCCCCCCCCCCCCCCCCCCAGACTGCCCCTGTGAAGATATGTTAAAGTGATATATAGCGTATTTTTTATGAATTCAGATTAACTAAAATTTAAAAGATCTTTCTATCTAATTGTTTTGTTACTTTAAGAAAAGATATAGGACGTGTGTAAATTACACAATTTAAATCAATGGCGTTTCATAGATATCCGAGATTTAATACAATAACCGATTTTTTTCCCGACTAGGCAATAAATATCAGACAAAGTTTAAAGTCAATTTAACTATACGTGGAGATATAAAAGTTCCAAATCGGTGAAAAATCTAATTTGAACGTAAATAGCCAATATCATGAAAATCTACACATTCTCGTATTTTTATTTTTTAGCTCATATACGCTCTTTACAGCTCTGATGTTAGTATATTTACCAATTAACTTTCAAAATATATAGTTTATAGTAAAAATCATTTTCAACATTTTTTTAATTTATTATGTTTACTTAGATATACAGCTAACTATATATACTTCAAAAAGATGTATGAGGCCATTTTCAAAAATTGAATTTAGACTTGTAAAATGTAAAATTGCAAGGGAAGAACATTGAAAATTTAATATGAAATATATATTTATTTGCAAAATTAAATTCTGACCTTTCTTCCTAAGTTCTTTATTAAATGGTCCCTTTTTTATTTGTTGACATCATTTCTAAAGTTATCAAAATGTATGTCAAAAATATAATTTTAAAACTTTTATTTGAATAACCTTAGGTAGATATTGTGACAGTCATTCAGTATAATCATTTTTTGTGATACTGAGTTTCCAATTAATATATCCATCGTTCAATTCAATAGAGAGGAGAAGAATTCAATAATATTATGACTTCCCTATCAGTGACCTTGAACTTGTCACAATGACCTCAGATAAAGGTCACGTCATGACCTATAAAGGTCACGTCATTCCCAAAAGTCAGTTTTGGGTTAATATATATGTCTATTGTGAAAAGTTTTGCCCAGACACACATTTTCCACTTTTTCTTCAAATAACCTTGCGTCCAGGAATGTTATGTTCCAATGTTTCTACGCGCCTTTATCATAGACACGCGAAAGACAAACAGACGGACAGGGTGATTCGTATTCGTTTGGGGGAAAGGAAGGCTGGCTTTGTCTTTTCTCTTATCGACCACATTTGGAACAAAACAAACAAAATATTTGAGAATAAGAATTTCAGATAATATAGAAAATGTATGATTATTTTTTAAGTTGTAAGCTTATATCCAATTTTAGACCACTGATTTTAAATACGCCCCAAATATTATTCATTTCAATACTTTTCAAAGTTATATAGAGTAAACAGATAGGTAATAACCCACAGATGTCTTACTCAGGTCAAACTTCAATTTAAGTTATGAAACCCGTTGATCACTGATGGGTGAAGCCCTATTAAAATATATATATCTTGTAAGTAACAATGTAGGAAAAAAATTGAACGCAAGGCCCGGACGAATTGAATGACACGCTCAACAAAACAGCAAGGTTCGTAAAACAGGATCTAGAATAAAATTTATTTTAATTGCCTAAAGAATTGAAAGATCAGGGTGTGGTAAAGGTACATAATGTTATGGGAACACTTTAAATGCATTCTATCCATTTTTAAAACTCACAAAGTATAGACCTACAGCACGGGGAAACGAGAAAATGTACTACATGTGTACAAACGGCAAGGAGGTCCTGGCAGGCCGCAGCATTATGAACAAGCCAGCAGGAAGTATGATTTCAACGTGGGGCGGGGGGAGTCGTGGTGGTGGCACAACCATTCATTTTTAGATGGATGCGCTATCAAATTCCATAAATTCCTTGACACGCATAAACAAATTTATAAAATATTGAACACAAACATATGGTAGCTATGTTTAGTATTGAAAGAGGAGCAAATCCCCGTGCCCCCTCCCCCAGTTCCTACGACCATGCAATACGTTGCTGCAGAAATGTAGCTCGCTCGTCTAAAAAACGAATGGGATTGACGACCAGAGAGCAACAGTGCTACCCATAGCAAAATGATGCGCTGGGTTCTGGATTTTTTTCTCTAGATTTTTAGTTCAATTCGGTCAGTCAATATATTTTTTTCGGAGAATTACAGTTCTGAAGCTTTGAAATACATTAAGGCATTGATCATAGTTTAGAAATCCCCTTTCTTGGAAGGATGCCAATCACAATTTGAAGTGCTTTACCACTTTAAGCCGAGTTGGCGTGTCACCTTTTAGTTTATTCAGTAAATAGTTCTTCCGGTCAGTTATTTTCGTGAGGGTTTAATTTTCGTTGTTTTCGCGGGATGGGGGAGACTCCCGAGTTTATGACCAACATGAAAGAAGATGTGGAAACAAGGCGAGCAGAATGCCTATAGCGTCAGATATCATGAAATCATATTCAATATGTGAATTGAGAATATAAATTAACTTCTCATTATTAAGATTTATGAAATTATGAGAAAAAAAACTTTTCTGAGAGAAAAAAATCACGTAAAAAATTTTCTTTTATAAAAATATAAGATGATATTTGTGGGATTCGAACCTTAGCAATAAAAATCCGACGTATCATACTTCTTTGAGACAAACACGTTAACCATTATGCTAACGGCTCCTGATGATTTTGTGTATTTAATTTAATGGACTTGAAGTATTTTCGGAAAGATGCGAATGTTTGTCATAAAAGTGTACTTTTAAGGTATAGTGGGTCTTCGCTCAATGTCTTTATAAACCAAAAAATGTATATTTTATTGCAAACTTTTAGGATTATCTTTAAAAAAAAAAATGGAGGGAAGACACACTCATATTTAAAAATTTTATGTATGAAAAAATGATCGTTTTTGTTCTTTTTAGTGTGTGTATGCTTTTTCATAGGCAAATATTTTCAGTATTTTTCATAGGCAAATATTTTCAGTATTGGTTAGATTTTTGTTAATTGTAGAGATTTTACATTAAGTATACTTTAATATCAGATGAAATATCAAATAAAATTTGGATATACTGAGTAATTGAGATTAATTTTTTCACTTCTTATCTGTCGCACTATAGGCACTTCGTCCGCCTCTTTAAATATCAATGTGTATAAGTACTAAACATTCTCAATCAACGAAATCAAGTCCCCATAAACCAATATTTTTTTCCTCGATAGTTTGACCCCACGAAAATATGTGATCTTAAAGTAAGTTTTGGTGCCGTGATCAGGATTTCAGACGCCATCTGTTTTATTTCCGCCCGCCGCTTATAGTTTCAACAAAAGACAATTAAAATCTTACGTGTACCAGTTGCAAGAGTGCACTCTTGATCTGTGAATATGAAATATCACCAAGTTGTTGATATCTTCATTGTATTTCTTTTCAAAAATGAAGGAAAAATGCGGAAGGAACATTCTTGACACCCTTTATGTAAAAACTCATGAACGCAGGAATGAATGGGATGAGAGATATGCTCGATGCGAAACAACACACATTATATTACAAGACAAAGTCACTGAACAGGATGTACTAGAAATAAGAATTTGAACGAAATATCCCCTCCCCCTTTCCTTATTCAATTTTGCTAAAAGAACAGAGTTACTTTTTCAGCTTCTTCAAATAACTATATTTCTATATACATGTACATATGTATATTACATCGTATTTACATTTAGAAGATGTGAAGGACGCGTAGAGACAATTTACCAAATAGGCCTATCCGAAAAAAGTCCACGTCGTCCCCAGCAAACCTCACACCCATTCCCAGTCACCAGGCGTGAATACCATGCTTCTCACTGACGGATTTAGCGGGGGTGGGGGCCCGGGCCCCTCTCTGTTAAATGTGTTTAAAATATAAATAAGATTTAGTAAATCATTTTTGTTTGTGCATGACTGTGGGCTTCTAAACCGACCCAAAACTGTCCCCTTTCAAAATTTCTGGATCCGCCACTTCTTCTCTAACGTACGTATATTTAGTGTTCTAAAATTAATGAGAAATATAGCCTTATAGTGCAGTGATCGCGCCTCTTTCTCCAAATTAATATTGGTAAACTGATTTAATTACGGCAGCCCGAGGCGAGGGAGAATACAAAGAAAAATAATTCCAGGGACATCTCAGTAGCGTGAGGTTAGGCTAAACAGAATGAACTTTGAAATGCATGTGCCCGATTATATGTCGAGTCAAAGAAATACAATGAAATAAGTATAATTTTAAGAAAATAAAATAACAGAAACTACTTACTTCATTTCTCTCGTGCATATCATGACTCGCTGCAAGGACATCCGTAAGGTAAAAACCAGCAATTCATATATATAAACAGCATTCACATCATGAATGCGTTATAAACCCCCCAAAATAAAAAGTACATGGAAATGTATAAATTCGCTTGTTTACGATACTGAGCGAAAAATGCATACCATTTTATATCACAATCTTATAATTTTTTTTTACCTTGTGAACATGAATTTATTACAATGAATGACTGTCTTCAACCTGTGAATGAAAAAAGTTGCACAGATAAATGAGTCACCTGAAAAACCTTGCACAATAAACGTTTTTTGTGTTGTTTACTTGATACGTGCACATTTTGTCAATTTTTTAAAGAAATAAAATATATATCTAACAGGATAGGCAGTAACGTGGTGATTTAGGCTGATTAGTGTGGTGTAAACGAACAATTCAAACGAAACTACATAGACAGAAAGCTTTAATTAAAATGCACCTGGACAAATTAGAAAAAAAAGACTTATGCAGACACGGTAGAAGAAACTTAGATTTTTAAAGCACAGACATCAAAACGGCACAGGTATTAATGAGGTCTATCTCGCCAACTGACATCAAATAATATACCGATCGATTATTACTACATCTTCATGAATACTGGCTTTAACAATATAATGGGGAAGAATCTTGATCCATCACGAAAATACATATTAGTATTTACATAAGGATCCTCGTCATTTATATTTCATAATGAAGCATGTACATGTACTAGAAATACAACGAGAAAGAGAGAGAGTTTTCTATAATATATGGAATCCGGATAGTGCCATGTAATTTATTATTGTACAGGTTTATATGAGCACCGATGTCGCACTTAATTAATGCGAAGTCGCGGCCAGGGGCGTAGCCAGAGTACTTTTGATGTGGACGCCCGAGTAGGCAGGGGGTTTGGGGCCGAATTTTTTAGGCCCCAAATTGGTCCAGGACAAAGCCGGGGGGGGGGCGAAGCCCCCGAAAACTGATTTCGATGTGCATATTTGACCCACCTGATCGCATTTTCCTTACACATTATAAGTTTGCTACGCAGCCATATTCAAGGTCTGTTCTGTTTTGTTTTTTTACCAAAAATGCAGACAAACACTCAAAAATGAGGAAAAGTTTTTCCAAGATATCGTTGTATGATGAAACCACTAAAACAATTTTGGAGACTTTTGAAGAGACAAATATATGTATAGTGAATTAAGAATGTAACGCACGTAGTAGAAAACTCGGCAATATTCAATAGTAGATCAAATATTGGGAAAATCAAATGATTTCAGAGAGGTGTTTGCTATCTTTTCTTTCCTTAATTTAAACTGATTCTGTTAATTTTCATTTATTTTTTATCGATATTCTAAATTGTTTCAAACTATTTTTTTATATCACTTATTTATTTATTTGCAAAATACAGAGCATACAAGCATATAGGGAACTTACGGTCCCCCCTCTCTCTCTTTCTCTCATTTTCCCCTAAAATGATGTGGACTTTTGTGCGTACAAACGTACGCCTGGCTACGCGCCTGGCGGCGCATAACGATAAATCGATGGTGTGACGATAAAGCGATGATGCGACACTGTGATGACGATGTTGCAATAAAACGAGAGAGCGAAAGTGAACTTTGCTTTGTCATCATATCATCGCAGTATCGTGTCAATGCAACGCACCATCGCTTCATCCTCCATAAACATTATCGTCATCGCTCTATCAAACCATCGCTTCATCGGCATCGCACTATCGAACCAAACCTCGAAGGTGCGATACTGCATATCTAGATTATGAATCCGGATAGGGCAGTGTAGTTACCCTTTAGTCAATGCTCGGTGGTGTGATAGTGTACTGCGTGGCCCTATCCGGATTCCATACCAACTATCAGATTTCAGATCGAATCAACTTTTCATAGTGCCAAAAAGGGGTGTGGTTTTTAAGAAAAGTAAACTCCGTCGAAAAAAAAACCAGAGAGAGAGAGAGAGAGAGAGAGAGAGAGAGAGAGAGAGAGAGAGAGAGAGAGAGAGAGAGAGAGAGAGAGGTATCCTTAGACTTTTCGAAGACCAATCAAATATGACTGTATTAGCGTAATTCCAGGAAAATGGCACGTATAAAAATATTTTCTTCTAATAAAACCATTTCAAATATATTCACCCTGTTCCGAATACATTCTTGATTACACTCACTTCATTCTATGTGTCTACCATAAAGTTTCTCATCAGAAGAAAAAGAGTCCTACCTTGTATCACGGCAGTATCTACGTGTTTTCTTTCTCTGTAACATAATACGATCAGAAGATGACAGATTAGCCTACCTCAATGTATTAATGAATAAATAATCACTATAGATATATTTTATAAAATTATTTAGCCATTGAGCTATCTCAGCATAACCAATATGTACATATATATATGTATAAAGATATTAAATATTTCTTAATATGTCCATTCCCAAACTTTTTTTATACTTAATATATATTTGAATTAGAGAAATAATTTTAGAAATATATACATATACCTCCCCATCCCCATATTGATAAAAGATACCTCGGTGTCAGGATTAGGTTTCTCTCGATATTGACTGGACAATACCAATCAACATGTAGGTACAAACCAATTGACACTTAGGAGACTGGGTGGGTCAACAAATTAACCACCAGATTTAACTTATTTTTTTTTGATACGGTATCTTAAGCTGTCAGCTATCATTTGGAAAAGAAAAAAATCATACATTATTGTTTTAAAATTTGATCATTTTAAGTTTGTATATTTTTATTTGGACCTCTTCTTCTAAAGGAGATAGAAATAGTCTGAAAATGGCTGCAACCCCCCAGCCCCTTTAATAAAAGTGGAAGGGAGATAAAGATAAATATATAGCCCCCCCCCCCCCCCAGTGTTCTGATTAAGCTGTGTGATCAAATAGCAATAGCAATGATGATATGATGTACAATTTCATTAATCAGATCAACCTTTTATATTTTTATTGGTGACAAATGTTTATTTAGAACTAATGATGTAAACTGCCTTTATTTACTGGTTTATACTTTCTTGTTTGCATTGAGTGTAAATATATAAAAATCTAACAAAGTAAAACATATTTTAATAAATTTGGCAACCATGAACTAAATGAATCATTTAAACATTAACATATGTACAAGAGAGACATTCCACACATTCACAGTCACACTGAACTTTTCAAATGCTTCCTTTGTCAGCTACTCTTCTGTGCTTGGAGGTACATTTACTCAGGCTCTTCATCTCTGCTACCCTTTACTTGTGATCTAAGTCTTTACACTGTTTTATTACTCTGTCTGTAGATATCCCTTGTAAATGGACTGTTGAGAAAAAAGTTTACTCAGTAAACATATATCTTCCTTCAATGAAGAAACAACCATTCATGAACAAAAAATAACTGGTTTAATTATTATATTTACAAAGCTTAGTTACTTAAGAATAAAAAATCTTACCCTTCAAAGAGTAGTGCTATTTTGTAGATCACACCGACTAGACAAGCCAATAACAGACCAGCCTGACTAGCTTTCCTACAATAAAAAAAATTCAAATCTTCACTAATTAAAAATGATAAAATAGTTAGAAAAAACAATGAACTGATTTTTTTTCTTAGAAAAAAAAACCCTTGACCTTTTTCTTACAACATCACATGTCAGGTTTAATGGTAAGAAAATTTTTTTAAAAATATACTGCTAAGTCCACAGATATACAGAAAAATTAACTGTGTATTGTGTTTTGTTCAGATATCATAAAGGTGTGTTCCTTTTGTGTTCCTTTTGAAACACATGGGAACTGTGCTGACAAAAAACAAAATTGTTCCTTCTTAGAAAACCATAGAGAAAACTGAGTACTAGTAATTCAAAACAGTATACCCACACTATAGCCGTTCCACCAAATATAAGAGTTGAGCCCCAGTACATGGGGTTGTCTATTACGTTAAAGGGGAAATCTGTCACTTTAGAATCCATTAATATTCCAAAATAATCACCTACAATGATAAAAAAATTTTTTATCATAGACATATTGTGATAATTATCTTTTTTTCTTTTTATAAACTTTTATTCATAATTTTAATACTATTATAATATTCATCTACAACTATGAAATTTTCCTTTTTGAGAAAAAATATTTCTATATATTTATAAATACACTTTTGAATGAATGGTTTGAGAAGGACAAAGGAGATAAATATATAACAAGGAAAAATTAATGCAAAGCTCAAAGGTTACTCCTCCATGTAAATTAAAGTTAATTGTATATTTTTTACAGTTCAGATAGCATCATTTATTTTGAACTGATTTAAATTCATTCTTACTTAAATAGCCATGAAAGAAATTACTTTGAATATGAAAATGAAATGCTCTGATCAAAACCCATTTCTCCTTATTTTGGATATACAGTGAAAACTGTAATCCACCACCTGTGTAATCCTTTACATTTGGCATATCAATATTACATTTTATTCCTATTTCAATTTTACTATTCCATGTTTTTGAACACGGTGCAATCTGACACCCTGTCTATTTCGACACAAAATTCGTCTCCCAGTGCATGTTAGATTAGACAGCTTTCACTGTACTATAATTCTAAATCAGAATCTGGTTATAAACATCAAATTCAATCAAAAGGTGTTTTAATTACATAGCCCTTGAAGGTTTGCAATTTTAAATAAATTTGACTTTTAACCTCTTGACTTTTAGATATGACTTTAACCAGACCTAAAGCAATGTCATATGAACAAACACTCTTGTCTTTCAATAAATGCATTATACTTATGTATAATCATACATGTATTAAAAGATATATATACAAACCTAGAAAGGTTCCATAGAAACCTAGAGCCCAGTAGCTCGAAAAGACCAGCATGGAACCAATCAGAATACAGCTATAGCCCAGGAACAGGAAGTTGTTATCATACAGGAAGGGCCACTCTGGCTGACTGTCACAGGCCACCTTAAACCTACAGAACAGAAAAAAGTCACAGGCCACCTTAAACCTACAGAACAGACAAAAAGTCACAGGCCACCTTAAACCTACAGAACAGACAAAAAGTCACAGGCCACCTTAAACCTACAGAACAGACAAAAAGTCACAGGCCACATTAAGGTAGTCCGATCCTCAGGTTTGTAAAATTAGCAGTTAAGTAATCAAAAAACTCATAAAAGTATCTCTGAATTTACAAAGTTATGTAAATTTATCCACAGTATTTCTTTAAAGTTAATGATTCAAGTTAATCATATTACATAGCGAATTGTCAAATCTCCAATATTTTTGCAGAAAAAGCGAATTTGAATATGAGCAACGCATTTTATAATTGCAAATACAATGTAGATCAACAAATATATTTTAGGTTAAAAAATGATAGGTATCCAGGCATTCAGAGAAATTGTCATGATTTTTATACTAAGTTGGAATTTTTTGTTTTCTTTTTCCGTCATGTATTCTATAATACATAGTGCAGAAGGCTTTTGTTGTCATTGCAGGGCATCACAAATCACTTCTCATTTCACATAATGCTAATAAGCATTGATATCTATGGATGGATTCAAGAAAATCTCATTTCTCTAAAACTGTATTATTTTTTTCTCCTTTTATAGGGTACAAATGTCAACTTTTATAGGACCTTTTCTAAAACTTCCAAAGAGCTCGAATCTTATAAAGATAAATAAAATGAAAATTGTTGCATGAAAAAAATTAATTTTTAAGCTTCATTTTGATGCATTTCAATTTAAATATTAATTTTTGGAGTTATCCTTCCTGGCTGAGGATCGGATATCCTTAAACCTACAGATCAGACAAAAAGTCACAGGCCACCTTAAACCTACAGAACAGACAAAAAGTCACAGGCCAACTTAAACCTACAGAAAAGACAAAAAGTCACAGGCCAACTTAAACCTACAGAAAAGACAAAAAGTCACAAGCCACCTTAAACCTACAGAACAGACAAAAAAAATCAAGTCTCATAATAAGTAATTACAGTGTAGTTCTTGTCATAATAAATAATGAGTAATCAAATTGCATTATATTTGTAATCAATTCCCATGATTTTTCCTATCATACATGTAAGTACAAATATAAGTAATCAGTACTCACCACCAGTCTCTGAAGAACCCCAGTCCTACAATAGTCAGGGCCAGAAATACACAACCCTTTCTGGGGCCCCCAAATAACGAGGATACAATGTGGTGTCTGTATTCCAATCTAGCTACCTGTAAAAAGTAAAACAAGTTCAATGGGACTCAATAAAAGTATTTTGATCTGACAGACAGGTTTGATCACCAACAACTAGATAACTTAGCTAGGGTACAGAACCTGCTGACTGGGGATTCAGGGGAGCAGGATTCCACCAGTTTTTCTCCCCCTTCTGTTACATTTGGTTATCACTAAGGACATGACAAGTGAAAGATATGCTGGTGAAGAGTCAGTTTATGTGTATTTTGGGGAATAGTCAATAAGGTGGGAGTTAATGTTTGATTTTTTTGTCACTCATGTGGAGATGTCACCACTTGCAAGTTGAGAGCTGCAAATTTTGACCATTGCTCAGCAAAGCCATAAACCAGTGAGGAATCTTTTTCATGCCAGCATCTACTGCCACACAGGACCTCAATTTATATGGTCTCATTTGAAGGACCGGTCTCCACATCCCACAGTGGATTTGAACTTTCTATGTTGTCCTTAAACATTTCCATCCCTAATGGGACCAAATTCCCTACCCTTAAATGTCTGTCAAGTACAAAATACTCTGATTTGTATTAGAGTATTTTAAATTGGAAAAGGATTGACCACAAAAGTTTTAAATGACTAGGGGGCACATTAGCAATGTGAGGTGGGTAGACAGCATAACATCCTTTCAGGCAGTAGGCAGGATAATGTAGTCTATGGGGAAAATCGCTTTTTCAAAATAAAAATTCAAATAATTTGAATATCAATAAATCCTGCAGTGGAAAGATGCATTGAAACATTAAAAATAGAATGACAATTGGAAAACATTTTTTCTTTACCTGCTACAATTTTTTTAAATGATTTTTTTTGTTAATTAAAAAAAGGGGAGATAACTCTTACCAAAATTTACGGTCATAAACTAGGACACATTTTCATGAAATGTAATGCAAGACAAAAGCACTATGGAATATTTCACTGAAAACTCCATCAGGTAAAATTACACACTTTATGTTTCAAATGAATCTCTTACCACACAAATTATCAGTCAGCCTCAATAATATTCAGAAATAAACTTACTTGTACATACCACATTCCAAAACAAAGGATTAAAGATAATTGTTGCCATGGAGATCCATAAATTCTTGTCATCAAATCTGACAAATGTTTCAACTTCTTCACCAAGCCTTCCCATTCTGTAAATATAATGCTGGTGTAAAGCAGGTGATTGCAAGAATCTGAAGCTTAAACCTTGTGAAAAAATGATTTACAATTTACTACAGGGTGCATTGATTCTCATCACTTTAGGTATTGTATGGATTGAAAAGACCAGACCAGCACTTATAAGCCCTCTCAACAAACCTATGAACACCCCCCCCTCCAAACAAAAAAAAAATACACTGAACACTACAAATGGAGCTGTATGACCACAGACAAACATTATAATTGCAAATGTCTTTTAAAAATATACAAGATAGTTTGAATAATCTGTCAAGCAAGCAAGTCACTTAAAGATAAAGATAACTGATCAACCCCTGATAAAAGATGTAGAGTACACACAGAGAGGCCTTTGTGACCTTATCAAGTTGTCAGTTAACACTCATTACTGTAATGGCCAGCAGAACTCACCAATCTGGAAGTCATGAACAAACAATATTTTAACTTTATCAATGAAACCTTATCAATGGATTAGAATACTGTATATGTATTCATTTAAGTTTCACCATAATTGAATATCTTCTGAAAGTTTTCTTTTAAAATGTAATTCATTCAGTCATTTAGTCACAGAGGGATCTGATGTGTATGCCAGCCTATGGCAAAAAGAAAATCTAAAATAAGTCTAAGCTACCCTTCTGAATACTCTAAGGGGGGAGAGAGGGGTCATGAAAATAATAAATTAATACTAAAATGTATCCAATTGACCAATTAATACATATTTTTTCTAATAGAAAGGTCTAGGAAAAACATTCACTTTGTAAAAATATCTTTATCAAATTCTTTCAAGAATTTTCTTCATGTTTCATGATCACTTTGGAAAAAAACATAACACCACCCCCGCCCCACCACCAGAAAATAATAAAAATAAGACTTTTTAGGATTACACATTTTTCTAGTGAAAAGAGTTTTCTGGATACTGTTCTCTTAAAAACGTGAAAAATACCACCGTTCAGCCCAAATATGAAAAAAGGTTTTAATTACTAGATTATTTTGTAAAATAAACATGATAAAGAACTTACTAGGTAGACTCTACGAACAGAGTTCTACAGGATGGGTTATCCATTGAATATTTTTTTCTTTTTTAAACATCATCTCTACTTACCTTCAGTTTAACTGTCCACAAATAATATATTCACAGATCTTGATTAAAACACAAAAAATATGTCGTATACACTTTTAAATTTACTTAAAGTAGGATATATGCATATCATCTATTTGAGTAAAAACTACATATTATCCAGAGAAAATAAAAATTAACTTTGACATTAAATGTTCACGGTCATGGAAAATTACACTAAATCAAGGTTATTCTACCCTAATCACTACGATCATGTACGTAGCCATCAATATAGGCCTATCTAGAAACAGATAACAGACTCTGCTACTACAATACCTACATACCGACTGCTGTACATTAAATTATTTCTAAATTATATCTCGTATTGAATAGGAAGAGATGACATGTTTGCATAATCTCAGCGAGATGGGTAGAGACGATAGTCCAAATTTTCAGTCTCTACCCATGTCGCTGAGATTAATGTTTGCACGGCTCTAAGGTTGAGGTAAAAAGAAAAAGGGGTAGGGTGCCACCCATTAGCAGATTATCACATTTTTTTATTGAATGGAAAACGACTTCTATTAACCACATTGCTGATTTTTGTATAGTTTCGGACTGTTTACTCGTCTGCTCTACTGACAATTATTTCAACATAGCCTCACACTGTCACATGTCATTAGGCAATGGAGACACATAAAACTTATCTCAATCGTCAAAGATAACTCATACTATCTTAAATAAAATAAAGAAAATGTTTTTATTTAAGATGTTGTGATTGAAATTCAACCCCTTTGGTTTAGGACTATGTTAAAAAAAAACTAACTTTAAAATAGTAAGCAAAAAACTTACCTTTTCCCAACACCGGAAATATCTCTATAGTGTATAACATAAAAAATGATGTCGGGATGAGTCCCGGTTTGATGTTGTCGTCTTTTCTACACAGCCATTTTGATGGGTATCATCATGACATAAGAATAAATGTCAGAGGCGTAGTCACAAACTTAAAAGTGAGGGGGCTAACCCCCCCTTCAAAAAGTGGGGGGGGGGGCACAAACATACTCTTGCCCCCCCCCCCCCCCCCCCCCCCGATCTGAAAGTGGGGGGGGGGGGGGGCTAGTGCTGTTTAATCATTGAAAGTTAATTACAGTATTTTATTATTTCGGCTAACATGTAACTCAGTAACCTATTTATTTCTTTTACTCCTCTGCACTGACCTAGATTTTGTATTTGTATTCCCAGTGAGGAGTTATTTTGGAAAGAGGAGTTATTATTGCGTCATGGGAGGAGTAAGTTTTGGATTTTTTGCCATTATAATAAATATGTGAACTTTACGCTGTGTTTTCATTTTAAGAGATAAGGAATATAGTAGTTTTTGTGGATGGAATATTAATTATTTAGTATTTACATGCTCGGAAATTAACAACGCTACACATTGACAACATTGATTGATTATATATTAAATGTTGTTTAACATCCCTTTCGAAATTTTTTCACTCAAATAGACGCCACCACTTGCCGATGGAAAGCTGCAAATTTTGTCCTTTACTCAGCACTTTGAGCAGTGAAGGATATGTTTCATGCCAGCGTCCACTGCGACACGCAATCTCGGTTTATACGGTTTCATCCGAAGTACCGGTCTACACGTCCCACCGCGGGATTCGAACCCGCGACGTAAGGATCAGTTACTCCTTAATTACCTCGCAACTCTGGAACAGACGCTCTAACCACTGCATTTGCACGCGATCAGATATATTGACAACGAAGGACTGTATATCTTATGAGAGGAACAGTTTGCACCCGAAAACATTGTGACTAAATTGTAAAAAAAAATTCTATATTTTTCGTTATCCCTTTGTTTTTATAGTTATTACCCATTTTGAAACATCCTCATCCCTCTTCCCCGCAGTCACGCATTTTAACGAAACGGAATATACCATTTCCTATTTCTAACGCAAAATCACGCATTTACCGTTTCCCTGCAATCACGCATTTTCACGCACGTTCATTAAATCTTTAATTTATTGCCAAATTTCAACTTTTTTATAGTGCTTGCGGGGAAATGGTAACGTAATATTTCTATGACGTGAGGAGTCAGTTTATGTTGCATAACAATTTAATTCTGTAAGTTGAAAAGTGTTAATAGATGTATCAGTCAGGTAAATTGGGTCAACATAGGACTCCTTGTTAAAAATGAGACCTACAGCAAAGACCTTAACCTTTAACCTGTTCACTCATCCACAAATGAATGTTATATCCAGCATCCGAAGCAAGCCAGGGAATGTGCGTCCTTTTAATTCTGCAAGTTTGGTCAAAATAGTGAATACAGTAAAGTGGAAATGAAACCATAAGAACACCATAAACTTTAACCTGATCACTCGGTTAGATCTAGAATCGGAAGCAAGCCTGATAGTGTGCATCCTTAGATGTATCATCCATGCAACTTTGGTCAACATAGGGCTAATAGTGATTTGGAAAAGAGACCTGCATTAAAAACTTTAACATGCACCGAAAACCTTTACCTGCTCTAAAAAAATAACCTTTCCTTAGCTGAAATTAGAAAGGAGACCTGCACCCAACACATATACCTGCACCTTTTACCTACTTCAAATCATTAATTTGGCCATTCCCTTCCTGAAAATGAAACATCTGAAATCTTGGCTGTTATAACAGAACACACTAGAAGCATGCCCCATGGATGTCTGATCACTCTAGGGCAAAGAAGTACTTTAAAAGAAAATTGTACCAAAAACGTTTACATGGGACGCCGTTACCGACGCCGACACTGAGGTTTCACATAAATAAGCTTTGTCAGTTTCCGTGGGGTGAGCTAAAAAGGAATCGGAAAATTACGTCAGAACAAATTTATCCCGAAAAACACTCATTACATTGTCGTCCGTGGTATATCGAGTAGAATCAACCAAGAATAACTATTCTTAGAAAACTTCATAAGATTCGGGGATAATTATATAGTATTTGCCCTGTCCGTCCGTCTGTTTATCTATCCGTATCGATCATAGAACTTACAAAATGATGCCTTTAAAAGAGACTGCTGTTATTTTTGTTTCATCAACTTGTTTGCATGTCAGTCATTCACTTCGTGTTAGAAATTGTTCGTACGTACAGCATGCTCTTGCATATCGAATCAACTGAGAGATATAGACTCCGTATGCAGGATATGGAGATAAGGAACAGTATTCAACACCAAAGTCCATAAAACAATACAAAATAGGAGCAGAGCAAACACGGACCTCTAAAACATCAGAGGTGGGATCAGGTGCCATGGAGAAGTGAGCTTCCCCTGCCGACTGGTATAACCCGCCGTGTGCTCCTTTTCGGGAAATAACGGAAAAAATCCGTCGTCAATTCAGTAATTAGTAGTAACAAACTCTGAGCTCAAAATTATTTGATCGTATACAAAGCCTTCCAAAGGAAAGTCTTGTCACAAGAAACATATCTGTAAGACATGAAAACTTTAGCACTGACGGTTCAAGTTATGACCAACGTTTAAAATTTTTAAAAGTGGGCCAAACTCTGAGGCCATGGTCAATCGCACTGAGAGAATTACCTAGATGATTTAACTAGTGTGCCTTGTAAAGCGTTCTTTGTGATTAGTAATCACTCCGTGTACTAGCTAACTCAGTTAAACGTGGAATAGTGGTCGTAAAGTTACTAAGATACCTATTGAAAGTTACTTAGAAATTCTTGGATTTACTAATGTTATCTAGTAAAGCTACCCGATACCTGGTAAAACTACTTTTAAGGTAGTGATTGTATGGACAGTAAATTTACTAGTCTTCCCAGTGACTTTCACTAGTTTATTTTTTTCAGTGCGGTAATTATTTTTAAGACTTTTCATTTTTATATACAACCATTCCACACGATAAATTAAAATCCAGTCTTTTTTATAGCGTCGACAGCTGCATTTTCAATAAAAATAGAACTCGTAAATTCACTTACCTGGTCGTTGGTCATGCATTTGTAAAATTATTAAAACATTCTGCTTGCATTTATAAACAAGTGTGAATCGGAGAGATAAGGGTTAGTTTTTGCATTTATTCAATTTCCTATAAAGAGAAAATCGAACTGCTAAATTATTTTTTCACATCGATCTCTGATAGAAAAACAAAATGTAGTGGGGAATACGAGTTGTCAACATTCAAGTCCAAAGTTGTAGAAAGTTTCAGTGACTTATATATCCAAGAAAGCGAGATTATTGATATTGTCTCTATTCTCCCTCTAAGTAAAGCTGTGGACCCTGATTGTATTAGCCACAAAATGTTAAAATCTTGTAAAGAAACAATAGCTAAGCCACTTTCTTCATTATTTAATAAATCCCTAAGACTTAAGGTTTATCCTCAAAGTTGGAAACTAGCACATGTCCTACCACTATTTAAAAAGGACGACCCAGCAGTGATTTCAAATTACAGACCTGTATCTCTTTTGAGTTGTGCTAGCAAACCTTTTGAAAGAGTTATTTTAAATACATGAATAATTTTTTTTTCACACAAATAATTTGTTCTACAAATTTCAGGCAGGTCAGCCTGGTCACTCTACTCTGTATAAACTTTTAGAAACATACTATTGTTAAAAGTGTTAATGAAGGGAAACATTGCTGTATGGTAATCTTTGATTAATTTATCTAAAGCTTTCGATAGAGTTTGGCAAAAGCAGGGGCGTAGTATCCGGGGGGGCCACCCCCCCCCCCCCACTTTTTTTCCCAACCTAACTTACACTATAGGAAATGTTAATTGAAGGCCTGGTTCCCCCCCCCCCCCCCCCACTGTTAGAAATGTACCGAAAATGTAGTATTAGTATTGGTACTAAAAGTAGTTGACACTGAGAAAAAGAGTTTACTTACACCCCCCCCCCCCCCCCCCAACCCCCCCCAACGAAATAGGACTTTCGACTTTGGGCAACTTTTCTCTTTTTTTTTCTTTTTTTTTTTTGCTTGTCTACTTTTTCAGGTAAGTAAAAAAAATTTTTCTCTGCCTGGCCCCCCCACTTTCAAAAACGATGCTACGCCACTGAAAAGGGATTGATTTATAAGCTTAAAATGTATGGTGTCTCAGGTAATATGTTAGAATGGTTGGAAAGTTACCTTAACAATAGAAAACAAAAAGTCATGTATAAAAATCTATTTTCTTCCGTGAAGAACGTGTATGCTGGGGTACAACTATAGGGCACATATAGTTTTTCTTTACTTGTGACTGTTGATTTTACTTTTGTATTTTACGAAGTGTATTTTTTTTTTCAAGCAATCTTGTTATATAAGCACAATTGTTGCATTCGAACGATCTCAATCACACATGTGTACCACGCTTTTTAATATTGTATAACTTCTCTGATACTTAGATGTTAAAATGTCATCTACCTTTATTATAAATGTTGAACACAGAGTTGTTAATGAAATATTTTACGGTTTTTCGATTTTATTTTTTTTATTTTAATTTTGTTGTCTTAAAGGTATTGTTGTGGGTAGTTTAAAACATCGACATTAGAAAACAAGTGATTGTGTAGCTCCAAATATTTTTTGTGTGTGTTTTTATGTTTATAACAGTAATTTCTGGTCATGAGAAACAGCTCATTTTTATGCCGTGGTGGATAAACAGAGAGTATCGTCAGAGACAGGATAATATCAATCATTAAAATTTTTGTTGTACTCAGATGGAAGACAAGGTCGACAATAATAATATACAATATTTTTGGTAAGATAATTCTGGGTTAAGCGAATAGTCTTAACCCACAGTGCGAGGTTTATGTTCAATGCGTTCAGGTATCAATTGTTCGAATTTTTTGCTGAGGTAATAGCTATTCCAAGGAGCCTTGCCGACTCTACCCACAGAAAAAGCCTAGGCAAAGTGTACTAGTTTAAAG